TTTCTGGCTTCTCCTTATTTTCAAAGCTTTCGAGCTTGCGGGGTGATATTGTTTCGAATACAGAACGAGCATCTTCGCACATGTGCACGAGCAGAGAAAATAAAGCTATAGTTATTTATTGTAAATCGGACTGTATTACTTAACCTTCACTTTATTTTGATCGCCTTCATACACAAGGAGTTATTGATTCAGTGATATTGCGGATTTCTCGCTGTCTCTCGTTTGTTTTTTTTTTTTTCAGATGGCGTTCGTTTGTCACGTAAATTCCCCATGCAGTTCGCGCTAACAATGTCCGACAGTGCACATAAATGCCCGTATGAAGCTCCTTCATCACTCTGTTTAATGTGCCATGACTTCGAAAAAAAATACTGTCACTAATATTTTCATTTACGTGGTTGAGAATGGTTCCTAGCTAATTACTACGTTATAATAACTCGTAATAGTTGCTCTTATAAATATAGCGCGCAGAAAAAATGCACCATGATCCAAAAACCCCCGAGACTGCAGGCAACAACAGACACACTCCGAAATTCGAGTGTGTGTGTCGTTACCTGCAATCTCGTTTTTTTTTTTTTTTTTTTTTTTTTTTTTTTTAATCATGGTTAATGTACACCAGCTCGCTTGCGCCATTATATATATATATATATATATATATATATATATATATATTTTTTTTTTTTTAATGCACCTGCTTTTCTCTGAAGGAATGCATTATCGGAAGTCAGTTTTTGACTGTTTGGTGTCTGCTTCAAACAGCGCGCTAGCGCCACTAACTTCATGCGTACATTATAATCAATGGCCCATGCTACCGCGGGTCCGTGAGAGAATTATGGGAAACCCGGTTTTCTGGCCACGCTTTGCACCTGACGTCGCCCCGTTAATGGCTCTCCGCCACCAGCAGAGAAGAGGAGGCGCGCCATGGAGCGAGTGCCACCAGTCCATCATCGGGTGACGGTGTCTCGGTCGACCCCTTCCGACTCCGCGTCGTGTGACGAATCCAGCCGTGCAAGTGGGCGCACGACTCCCCGCAGACTTCCGTGCGCGCGCACCGATTCTTTCCGCCGCATCGCGACTTCCGCCTCCCGGCAGATGTCTCAAGTGTGAAGGCCCCCGTTCCCCTTCTTTGGCGCCACTGATTTCGTTTCGGTGGCCAACCCTCGCAGTTTGCAAGTCATGTGGAGAAGTGGCATGGCCCATTCATAATTTTATTTTTGCGCTCCGATAACTCCATCCGATAGCGATAAGATAAAGGCGGCGGCGGAATGTCGGCTATTCGTTATCGGTGTTATCGGAACGATCTGTTAAAACTTCCTAATAATAATGATGCAATTAAAATGCGGGTCTAGTAATGCGGGTCTTTTTAGAGGCGAAGCTCCTTAGGGTCTAGCCTTGTCCGTCCGGCGTCCGTGCTCACATCGATCTTGCTCGTGATTGTGCTCGTAAGCTCACGAGCTCACGAGCACGTGAGCACGTGCTCACGTTCTCGTGTAGGGCAAAATAATAAATAAAAAAAAAAGATGAAAAAAAAATGTTTACGCAGTCGACAGGATTCGAACCTGTGCGGGGAGACCCCAATTGATTTCTAATCCAACGCCTTAACCACTCGGCCACGACTGCGGGAGGAGTAGGAGGCTCTGAGATGTGGTAGTAACTCAAGAGCTGGGGTTTTTGTCATGGATGAAACGTTGCATGTAGCCGCTCAACGTCTATACAGGAGAAGGCGCTGCGGTCAAATGCGTATATAATCGCGCTAAACGTTGCATGCATTGGCTCAACGTTTATAGACGAGAGGGCGCTGCGGTCAAATGCTCAAATGCGTATATAACCACGTTCCATACCAGAGCCTCCGGCTCAGCAACACTTCCTTTCATTTCCTTGCTTTCAAAACTCTGACTGTGACATTCTCTTTCTGACATGGATGAAAACTAGCGAAAGGCTCGGCATGCTGCGGCTCAGCGTCTACGCAGACAAGCACCACCAGAGCTTCTCCCCAATCAACATCATTCACCACGTGGAGATGCGGTTTTTTTTTTTTTTTTTTATTGGGGCCTGAATTGTTTGCAGGGCACGAGTGGCGTGGCCAGAAAAGGGAGGGGGGGGGGGGGGGGCTTTATGGGGTTTCAATTCTCCCCCCCCCCCCCCCCTCCGAAAAAAAAATCCTGACTACGCTACTGCAAAGCACGGCTCTGTGTGTAATGAGGTTGATGAATATGTCACTTTTTTCCCCCATCTTAAAATAAATGAGTGAAGTAGTGGAGTGAGAGGGGAAAAAGAGAGTTTTAATAGATTGTTTCGATACCTCTAGGATTTTGTGAATATTCGAATTTTCGAATACATTCGCTTCAAGATGAAGGGCGATATTCGTATTCTTCGAAGTATTGATCGCGGCGGGGTAGCCCCGTTGAGCGCGCTTCTCACTGAGCACCGCTGCACTGCGGGGAAGCAACACCTGCGGGAGCGAGCTCCGCGGGTGTTGCTTCTCCGCGGTGCATTGGTGCGCGGTGAGAAGCGCGCTCAACGGGGCTAACCCGCCGCGATCAACACTAAACCATACAAATAGTGCAGTCGCGCACGAGAAAAGCACAGTTTTATAGCGGGATGGTGCACGCGCGCGCCTCGTGTATTTAACATAGAAGCAGAAACTTTGTGGATGTTTATCTACATTGCAGTAAAAATTTCAAAATTAAACTGTGGCTACTATGCAAGAGTATATCTTAGTCAGAGATGCCCTGACAACCTGCATTTATCATTAATGATTGTTTTTTATTCTTCTTCAAAGTCAAGATTGAAAAAAGGATATTTGCATGTAGCAAGGAGATTTATAGATCCCCTCGGTTAGGTATAGCTGGGCACCTTTGGGTTTAATTTTATGTCAAATGCATTCTTTATTTCTGAGGCTGCAGTTCATAAATATAGTTAGATTAAGATTAACTTAGCTTAAATATAGACAAGTGGAAGGTTGGGAACAACTTTCATGAGTTTAGCTGTGTTTTTATTTAAGCATGGTGCAGTAATAAAAGGCTTAGAAAAACTATTCAATATTTAATTAAAAAATAATTGGCCTAAACCACTAGTTGCTTCGAATTCGCTTCAAACTCAAAATTCACTATTCGCACCTCTGATAACGATACGATGCATGTGTTAAGGCGCCTGCGGAGTATTGAGTCTCGTTATACCCAAAATTTTATTTTTTTTTATTTTATTTTGCTTGTTATATTATTTTTAAACATCCTACTTTCTTGCTTAAAAAAAATTAAAACAAAATTTGGGCGATAAAATTGAGCCAAAATAATTCGACTAAACTTCGCTGGCTGAAAACACTGCAAGTTCATATGAATATCAGCCATCTTCGAGAGGCTGTCACTCAGAACAGCAGTGCTTTCTATGTTTCTCCGATTAGATCTGCAACAGACAACACTAAAAAGCACTTTTGGATCTACCGAAGCAAGAACAAGTTTTAAGAAAGGTGGCACAAAAGCTAGCGGAGAACGCCAGTGGAAGAACGTTTACCTCGGTGTGCTAAGCCTTACCACGGGAACAGCGACTGTTCTGATGCAATTGGCACTTCATTCACATGTGTTAGCATTTCGGAAAAGAAGCTCGAGTTCTTCAAAAACGTTTACAGGACATGTGGCTGTGGCTCTGCGAGTTCAATGATGTGTGACATTGACACGCTGATTATACTTCTAAGCAATGCGATCTGCCCCACTTGTCATTGTCCCTCCCTATCATCCCCCCTCAAACTACACTCAGGGAAGAGTGAGTGCCTAGACAAAGTTCTTTCTTTCTACGTTTACGTCGAAACGTGCTGCGTCAGATTGAAAAGTAAGTGCCATGCAATCCTACGACAGTGGAAGCTCGCACACGTTTTGCAGTCTGTCAACTTGAAAGCCGTCAACTTCTGTGCTTCAGTGTATTTCTCGGCCTGCTAACAGCAATGCACCACAAGATCTTCACTAGCAAGAAAGTTTATGCAACTGCCGCGAAAACTGCCAGCCGAAACCTTGTGAAGGCTGAAATGCTGACGTGGGAGGAGCAGCTAACGTAACGGTGTTTGATGGCACATGGCGCAAGAGGGGCCATAAAAGTTACAGGATAGAGGGAGGGACGCTTTTAGTGACTCGGGATGATTCCTGAACACCCTGTCTATGTTACGTCCCAATTCCATGTAATTCCAGCTGATTTTTCGAGAGCATGCATCTTTTGAACTTTCAAATGCATTTTCCTAGTTTGGCAACTTTGGGTCCTCTTCTCAGCTGGTCCACTCAGTTGTCGGTACTTAGAGTCTTCCCTTCGTAATGCATTTTTTATGTATCGTTTTGAGGATATGTAGAGTGCAGGTATCTGTTTGGAATTGCAATATCTAAATTATGTTTTTGCATAGCTTAACTAACTTTTAAGGGCTTATAAAGTTAAGGCTTTATGACCTCTTTATTTTTGCTTTGGTGATTAGAAAATTTTACACAACTTTTGGCTAGTTATTAACACACTACACTTCATAAAAAGCAAAATGAGCTATTTCACCGTACATGTAAAAAATTAATGTGCGTAATGTGTGCTCAAAAAACCTTTTTCATGTAGTTGTTTCTGCCTCTGAACACAAAACTATGGAAGCTACATTAAAACCAATGATTGTTTTGAAAAGGGAAGACAAAACTTTATGAGTAGCTATTATTTTATAGCAAGTGTTGAAAAACAATGTGTCTCCGAGCCACACCTTGTTTCTTTTGTGTGTTCTAAGCATAGTTTTTGGTATATTTTTCTGTCTTCTAAGCATCTGGTGGAACACTCAGGAAGTCTTTCGCAGTTGAAAATTAAAATAAATGAAGGAAGCATTTTTTGCTTCAAACCAATTTCAGTAATTTTGGTACCCGAGTTTTCTTAGCCAATGATTTTGGTTAAAACTGAATGAGATCTAGTAGTACCGAATAACTTGTGTTGGTTGTTATTTTGGCCACATAAAGATGGCACCACTTAATGTTTAATTTTGTTCCTTTCAGATGTCAGGCAAGACTTCCTTAGGCATGCTCAAATTCATCCCCAAGTGCTTGGTCATGGAAGGTCTCGGCGCGATGTATCCACTTTGAAGCATTCTGTAAGTATCGAGTGAGACTTGCTTTCTTTAGTTCGATGTGCACACACAATTAACCGCTCCTGAATGGCAGTACTGATGGCTTACTCTTGTGCACTGTTATCTAACCAAGGCATCAAGGTAATGATGGAGAGGGTAGGGAGCTCAAACATGTTCCCTCTTCGTGGAGTTAACTGGATCTTGTGAGAAGTGTTGACAAAAAAGCTTGGTCACACTTGCAGGTATTTCATGTGCGCAGTGTACACGCCTTGTGTGTGAAATTATACAAACTGTCGGAACAGAATGAAATGCAAATGCCGGTGCGCATGTTGGTGCACATGCTGTGCTACCTGCAGGCTGATAAAACAGTGGAGTGGAAAGGGTGCTGCGAAAGTGTGTGCTCTTTCCCCATTGTACACACCCTCGCAGCCTCCCTTTCAGTCTGCTGTTTTATCGCCTCCAGGTACTGCAGCATGTATCGAAGGCCATGCGTTCCAGTGTTTGCATTTCATTCCATTCTGATAGTACCATATAATTTCACTGCACATGCAGTGTACATACGTTCGAACCAAGCAGGTACCCGTGTCCTCCCCAATTTCGTTGCGTTTGCTCCGAGATTTTAGATGTGCATGTCCTCGGTATTCGGAGGTCCTCATTGTTTTATTTCTGGTGGTGGAAAGACCTGCAACTTTGCTTTCCTCTCGTGTGGGCCTGGGTGTTCCAGAATCACAAAGACGGTTTGCGGGTGACCTTCACCGCATTTGGCAAGCCGTACACTCTGGACTTGCGGATGACGAAGGACCTCCTGCCTTTGAGCTATTTTGAAAAGCACCACAGGAATGGGAGCCACGTGGTGGAGCGCCCCATGAGAAAGGTGGGTGGCATCGCATAGCTGTGAAAAGGGCTGTACAGGCTGTCTGACCCAAGTATTTGCCATTCTTTAGAACAACAAGCATTGCTACTATCATGGGTCGCTGGAAGGGAGGAATGACTCTTGGGTGGCTGTGAGCACCTGCAACGGATTGAGGTATGCTTGCTTGCACTCCTCCGACAAGTTGTGCTGTTTAACGGTACAGTTGGAATTGGGCTAGTTGGTTATTCATGCTTTGATTTAACTGCGCTTAGAAAGATTACATATCATGACACTGAGCCGAGAAAGCCGATGCGACAAACAGCACAACACGATGAGCATTTTTTATTTTTATTGCATTGGCTTTCTCGTCTCAGTGTCATTATTTGTAATCCTTTGCAGCGCAGTTCAATCAATGCTGCGCTGATTTGACTTCTGTGCTGAACTTTGTCGGGTCGGTTAAAAAATCAAAGGTGGAGCAAATGCCAAAGGACAAAGTGCATAACTAATACCGAACTAATTTCAATGTAGCGTGGAATCTAGAATGTGCATTCAGCAAGGGCGACCAGGCTGGCGGGGCTCACGAGCCGCGAGCAAAGGTGCAAATGTGGTATTTTGTATTCCTGAGCCTGAAGAAGAAACAAAAAATGTGCCGAAATCTCTGCTGTTGTTACGCTGATTCTCAACGGAATGCATACGTTGACATCATGAAGACCGACGGGCTCTCTCTCGCTGCTGAAGCTGTGATGCGAGAGAGGTGCATAAGATTAATTAGCACGCTAGGAGATCAAATCAGACAGAAACTCCCCGACAACGTCAAAGTTCTCTAGAAGACATCACTTTTATCGGTCCAAAACACATTTTGTGCATCCTGAAGGAGTCATTGATTCCTCTGTTAAAAGTAATGGCAGTGCCCCCTGAAGAAATAGAAAAAATTCAAAACCAGTGGAGCAAAATCCTCCTCAGTAGTTGGGAGTAAATGTCATCAACATAGTCGATCTTGTGTGAAGTTCACTTCTATAAGGACGCCTGTGGCGAAAACCCTTTCACTGAGTTCCCGGATTTGCCATGTCGATCCTGGTGTTGCCCTACTCAAATGCCGAAGTGTAAAGGACATTTAGTCAGCTTAACATGGTAAAATCCAAGCTGAGGAACAAGTTGAAGCCTGAAACAACAAACACCATCCTCGTAAGAGTGGGACTGAAGTGACACAAGAAAAGTTGTTTTGATTACGAGCTTCCTATGGCGGTTGTAAGTGCAGTTGGGACATCTGCAACATACGGGCAACCAAGTATGTGCAACTGCAGCACTGAAATCTCTAGTATTCTAGTCACCCTCTTTCAAAGACTTTTTTATGTTGTTTTAGCTCTCACAGTTTGGGGGAGCTTTTAAGAATGATGAAGGTCAATCATACGAAATTTCACTGTTTTTTTAAATACTAAAATAGGTCTTAGCGGGAAATTTAGCAGATATGTTTTAAAGTTCAGCCGAATCTGGCGGATTTCTTATTGTGTTTTAGCGAATTTCCGATGCCCAACGATGGCACTGAGGGTCTCTAAGGTGGATCTTGAGCTCGTCATTTGATCCCACAAGCTCAGTCTATGCACCCTAAGCATCCTCTAAAAACCAAAATTGCAATCACACATAGCCTTTTTCTTCTTTAAAAATGCTAGCAAATACTGCGAAAGGTCCCCTTTTTATGTGATTTCTTTGTTTCTCTTTAAGAAGCTATTCTAGAGCACAGCCTTGTTTTATTAACTTGCAATATTGGTTCATTACCGAATGTCACCAGATGTCGCGTGTGCACATGTAGAAATATTTTATACTGAATCATTTGGGGGAATTGCCTATAGTTGATCTTGATGGTGCAAGTGATGTCTCTTTGTGTATTAAGAAACAAAAAACAAGAAAAACAAGGTCCATCATTGCTTGGAGTTGTATGTCTCCCAGAAAATGAAATGCGTAAATATGACCCCCTGGATAACATGGGAGATTATTAATCTAAAGTGCGGATAAAAATGGCAGCGCAAAGCAAAAACCGCTAGCATAAATGCACACTTTTAGTAGCGTACAGCCTGCCTTTCAAATTAACTGAAAGAAAAATTTTAATGTACCGTATTTATTCGAATATAAGGCGGTCACGATTATAAGGCGAGGGGGGCAGTTGAAGGACCCAAGAAAAAGAAAAAAAATCGTCATATTGCTATACTGAGCTTCGAATATAAGGCGGGGTATGACTTTGAGACTACAGGATTTTGGAAAAAAACCTCGCCTTATATTCGAATAAATACGTACGGTATCCTAATCCTGCGGATAAACACGCTGCACAATAAATGTGCAGCATGTTTTGAACTGTGTTGGGTGTTTGTTCATGAGCTGGGTATTTGTTTCGTATGGAAGAAGAAAAAAGAACAGCTGAGAAGGCTTGCCTGCTATTTTTTTTTGTTGAGAAACTTTGTTTGTTGGCAGTTTGAAACAGTGTTTGTTTATGTAGGTGGTACAGAGTATTTCGAAAGTGGACATTGAATTGTCATATCACGGCATATGTCATCAGTGTGAGCACATTGGGTTGAGCCTCACACTGGAGCCAGCCAGCTAGAATAATCTTGAATCTGGGTTTACAGAAGGGGTATAAGCTTGGAGTTTTCTTGCTCCAGCACCTATGGGCAAGTTGGCCCTTCATTGACTCCTCTCTCTTCTCCCAGTGGGGTTGTCTATGACGGGGAAGAGCTGCACTACATTCATCCTGATGAGCGGGGGCACTTGTTTCTCGAGGCATCGCGCATGCTGCCAAAACCGTGGAAATGTGGTAAGCACCTCAGGTGTCTTTAGGATACTGCTGCTGAGGTAGACTTTATTTGTATCCAACATAGAACTTCAGAAAGGAATCAAGTAGAAGAGAACTTGAAGAATTAAGAGAATAGAGAATACTTTAGCACGATGCTGCCTAGCTGCCAATATTAAGGGTCTGTGGACCCGTCAAGCTGCAATGCTGTAGCTTTTTTTCACAGCTCCTTCATCTTTTTTGTACAAGGTGAAAATAAACTGATTTGATTTGATTTGAGCTAGGTTTGTAAGAAGCAATTAAGCTTGCTGGCGGGAGTCGAGAATGATCCTTATGCAAAGTGCAATGTCATGTTGTTTTTTTTTGTTCCTTGCCCGACAGTGTTTGCATATTTGAGGGGTCCTGAAAACTTTGTGCCCCTCCCAGTGGCGTAGCCAGAAAATATTTTCGGGGGGTGTTTCAAGGTGCTGGTGCAGTCACACACACAATACAAAAAAAAGAAATACATACATATGTGCGTGCATGTGTGCATACACACATACACAGAGATACATAGATGCATACATACACACACACACACATACTGTGAACGACTTAATTTTTCCGTAGACCTAATTTTAGCGAATTTTGCGAACCACCTCCGATTTGCGAACAATAGGTCCCGCGAACAATTCGGGAAAAATTTAATCGCCTTGAAAGCGGCATTGAGACACCGGGGAAACACGCATCCAAAAAGCATAACAATATCATTATACGCGATATGTAAATATGATATGGAAAGTATCGTAAAGTAAATAACGCAATAAGTCGGAATTCAGCTCACCTCAAAAAGTTTATTTGGCACCTTCAGACAATTCCTGCCAAAATATAGCCGGTTCGGATTGTGTCTTTACGGTTCCCGAGATCCGCGTACACTTCAATCAGCCATGCTGCGTGGGCGGGCTTCATAACACTTGCTTGCAAGTTGATCTTAACGTCCGCTGCACTTTGTCGTTTCTCCATCACCTCTTGTACATATCCGGCATACCACTGGGTAAAGCAGTTCATCATGGCAGTCTTGAACACACTGGTAATAATTAGGTCATTCAATTGCTGGAGTCCCGTGCAGCTTGTGGGGACGAAGACATACTCAATGTTGTTTGCAGCTAGTTTCTGCAGAAGACTCTTTGTACGTTGTGCAGCAAAGATGTCAAAAATACAAAGTGCATGTTGACTGGCACCACCCACACGACTCCTGCATGTCTCGACGTACGGAAGAACAGTGTCGACAAATCGCAGCATTGTGGCTTCGTTGCTCCAGTGGTTGTCACTGTGCCACACGTCCCAGTCATTTGGAAACTACACCTTGGCATGGCACCTGTCTGTTTTGCCTGCATATATCAGTTGAGGAGGCAAGAGTTTGCCAGAAAGCTTCGTGGTCATCAAAACGGTGACTTCCCTCTTGTCGTCCAAGCTAACCACCCCAACGTGCTTGGAATCTCGGGCCTTCATCATCCGCTTGCTGGCCGGAACCAGCTTGACACCTGTTTGGTACCAGTTGAGCACCAAGTCGTCGGGAATATTGAAGTCGTTTCTCTTCTCGTCGATAGTCTGCAGGAACTTCTTCTTGGCACCCCCGAAATCATTCGGAAAATTTCGCACAGTCTTCGTGGCCTTCCACTTGATGAATCCAATCCTGTGCAGGAAAGATCTTGCCCAGGGTCTGTCAAGAATGAGAGTCCCACCAAACTCTGGCAAGAGTGTAGGCTTGGTCGCCCGCACAATGCCCAGTGCAGCAGCGATACAAATCCTGGTGTTTACAATCCCGCCCCCTTCTCTGAGCTCCATAATGTACGCCCGTACGTCATCATCCAAGTTTCCAAGCACAGGCTTGACACCTCGAAGTTTACCAGGCAAGGTAGCCAGCCCTTTTGAATGACAGGACTTGCAGGCTTGGATATAGGCGGTCTTCATCCCCCTGACGGTGCTCTCGTTGAGAAGCTTTTCTCTTCCATCGGAAAACTTACTTACTGCAGCAGTTGTCCCATTTTCCACAGCATATTTCTCCATCTTACATCTAAGTTCGTCATCGTAAGCAGAGTAGGGCCCTTGTTTCCGCTTTCGGGAGTCCACGGCGGTAGAAGCAGCAATAACACTTTGGCATACCTGTGGATAAGGCAGTCTCGGCGTATGATGATCTCCTGCATTCTCGACCACTGGCTTGAAGTAACGTAGTAACGACATCGCAGGACAGCAGACTGACGGACACAAGAAAGTGTACCACACTGACACAGAGCGTGCTGGCGTTGATGACCACGGTACGCAGCCAAGTTTGATTGGCCCCTAAACCTACTTTGAGTCGGTTTATGTACAATCATTGGACGCCATTGCCCTTTGTCACTGGCCTTCCATGCAAAGTGTGTGACCTCGAAAAGCGAACTCAAGAAAGGTTCAGGGGTGTGTGACCCAGTTAGTTTGGACCCTTAACTTATTTACACACACTGGTTTGACCCCATTGCCTTTGGCGGTTGTCCTTTCATGCAGAGTGTGTGACCTCAAAAAGTGAACTCGAGATAGGTTCATGTCAAAGAAAACCGATGTGAACACTAACATGGCCTTTGTCGGCGTCTCGAAGCCGCGGGTAGCGGCGGTGACTTCCGGACTATTAGTCACGCAAACTACTGCCGTCTTAACTTTTCTAGATCTTGACTGGTTGGCTGAAGCCACGGAATCCTAGAAAGATGGAAAGACAACCGGGCCGGAAAGTGTGTGGGGGGGGGGGGGGTCTGGTGTCAGTCTGGATTCGTGAAAATTAGAACCCGCAAATAATTTAAATTTTTCAACTTTGGCCTGATTTGCGAAAATTCGAGCCCGCGAAAATTACGTCGTTTACAGTATATATATAATAAAGTAAACTTTCGCTTGGCCCCTCCATAATAGAGGGTTGAATAGCAAACTATACACATGACAGTGATTAGACCTCCGTAGCTTTAGCAAGCGCATGGACATGCTCACTATGGGGACTTACTCAGCTGCTCAAATAGCACCATGCTCCAAGTACCACATAGTGACTGACAAGATTGCTCACAGAAAATAAAATAAATGAATGAAACTGCCGGCTGATTGTGGCATATGTCTGTGTATTGTTCGGATATTTGAACATCCCCTTTCGTTTGTGTGCTTTTCAAGGGTACGACGACACTCAGAGTCTCTGGACCAGCTTCCATAAGCGGGTGAGTGTTTCTAAGGTGGATATAATGCGACAGTCCCAACTTGTCGGAGAATTTTCTGACTGTGTACGCAGACTGGATATCTCGAATGGCTTTTTTTGTTCCAGGGCAAAAGGTCCATTGTAATGCAGCCCCCTTTTAAGAGCAATGCAAGGTCTCGCTATGTGGAGCTTCTTATTGTAAATGATCACAAAGAGGTGAGTCGGAAAAGTTTGTAGGGGATTGCTACTTTACATTGCGCCGTGGTTAACTCTTGGTTCTCATTCTTTCAGTTCCTAAAAATGAAAAAGAACAAGGATGCAGTCTTTGAGCGTAGCAAACAAATAGCCAATATAGTGAATGCGGTGAGTCTTCTTTTCCTTCGTGTGACTTCGCTAGTGATGTTAGTGCAACCTCTGGGCAGAATCTGAATGTGGCTTCATGGTTTTTCAGCTTTATGCCCCGCTGAACATATTCATTGCATTGGTTGGAGTTATCGTTTGGACGGATCACGATGAAATTGTCATGTCATCGGATGGCGATTCAACGTTGAACAATTTCCTGCAGTACCGGCGGGAGCGCCTTGCTCGAGAGCATCCAAACGACAATGCGCAACTAATAACGTGAGTTGGGGGCTTTGTGCCTGGACTGGGGAGGAATGGCGATTCAGCTGTTCAGCGCATTGTTGCTCTGCGAGAGGGACGCCCCCATTACCATATGCCGAGCCTCGCGGTAATTTGGCATCTAACTCCTCCTAATTGAGAAAATTATATTTTGGAGAATGCGCACGCTGATTTTTCACATCTCGAATGGTGTAAAACGGAGAAAATTGGAGGTCATGTCGCTAAACCCTGCACCGGCATAGTACTTGCAGCAGTGGCCATGGGAAAATGGTTTTAGCTTTTCGACTCCTGTTTTTGTGCAGGGACATTGTTATGGACAGTAGCGTTGTTGGCAAGGCACTGAAGGGGCCCATCTGCACGTACGAATACTCTGGCGGCGTCAACATGGTAAGGGTGCCACTTGCTGACCTTGTTCTGGCAGCCAGGCTGACCCGGATCACTGTTTTCAGGACCATCATCAGGTGGTGGGAGTGGTGGCGACCACAATGGCCCATGAACTGGGCCACAACTTCGGGATGGAGCATGACGACAAGGACTCAAAGTGCCACTGCCCCGAGAAGCGGTGCATCATGGCGTCTGCATCGAGGTACCGCCGCTTTCTCTTGGCCCCTGGGGCCATACTGTTCGTCTAGTTGCGGGTTTATCTGCTCTTCTTGCATGGAAAGCGTGACACAGTGCTGACAAGCGATCACTGTTTTTTTTCTCTGTTTCGCTTGCAACTCAAGATCTATCGTCAAAGTTTTTAGCGGGGGGGGGGGGGGGGGGGGGGGGAAATGGGCTCGGAAATGGGCTCGTTCAGGACAACAACTTGGGTGGTAAAATTTGCCGTTGGTGTGTGACCTGTCTGAGCAAAACATATAAAAGCACCCAAGTCCTGTTGGAGCCAAAAGCGTTGCCCATTGCACGTGAAGGGCCACCAAAGACATTTCCAAAATGCTCCTAAGGGCGGTGTTTTTCGCTACCTTATAGAGGGCTGAGTACACTGCTGGGTGTTTTACAGAATTGTTTTTCAACAGGCTAATATTGTTTTCATGCAATAGAACATGTAAAAACCAGTGGCAACCACCGAGACTGAAACTTCTGCTGAGATCACATGAGAGAAGAAGGATGCATAGTTGCAGCCATTTACAGGAAACGGGGATGTTGTGCTCACGTTTCTGTCCTCTCCCGCCGTGCACGGCACCAGCAGTACACTTCGTTTGTTTCTGTTGGTTGGAGGTCTGTTTAGGGCAAGGGCAGAATTGTCTGCAGTGCCTCTGCCAAGTGTCGATACTATAGAATTAACCTTTTTAACAGTCTTCCTTTTGAAAGCAAACAAGCTGGTAGTTATTGAATGGGAAGAAAAAAAATTAGCATTTGAGACTGAGGGTTGCATAAAAGGGGACAAAGCAACAAGGGTGGCACATTGGTCCTTCATTTTCCTCCAGGTGACCCCGGGAAATCAACTGCAGGCGCCAGACCGCATGCAGCTTGGTTTTATTTAAAGAAACACACAATCAAATAACTTTTTTTTTTTTTTTATGTATTTCACAAAATGAGCTTTCCCGAAAAAAATAAAAATAAAGTTAATTATTTTTGTCAGAAGACGCATTCCGAGTTCGAAGCAACTGGCTCTAAAGCGTCTTTTATTTTGAGGTCAAAGTCACGTCGAAATAGGAGCTACTTCGTCAGCCTTCGATTGGCTGGAAAGAGCATGGAAGAAAGGTCCATTGCGTGCCTCTCCTCCACGTGCTGTGGAAGGGTGCGAGCGAGAAAAATGGGAGGAAAAAAAAAGAAGCAAATTAGACGTTTGTGTTTAGGCAGCGTAAGGTTGGTTTCTCATGAGGTGTGGCGACGCTGATTTGCGTTGTGGACGAGAATCTTAGCACAGTGCAGTACGACTGTTAGCCTGGGGTCTTTAACATGCACCACACGGTAGCGATACACGACCGCACGCCACTTCGATGCTTGTCCAGATCCAAACGGGCAGGGGTGGGGATTGCACGCTGGATCCCCGGGTTCCGCAGCGCAAGCGTTTGCTCCACGTGCTCCGAGCTGGTGTGCGCTAGCCCATTTGGCCACCGATCCCCCCTAAATGGTGGGGAGGAGGATTGACCCATACACTCCTTTCATGGCTCCGTTTAAACTGTATCTTCCAGCATAAATATTGCATTAATTAATTAAAAAAAAAACTGATGCAATTAATTAATGCAATAATTATATTTTAAAAAAACGTTTTTGAGGCACGCAGTATTTCTCTAAGCAGATTGCAGCATATCTGGTGGGAACCATGCAGGCTGGACATTATATTACCTCTTGAGGGTACAACTGCTGCGTCATAGTCACTGACGGCCGAAGAAACGCAGGGTGTGACTTATTGTGGTCACGCTTCTCGCTTCGTGATGTAGTCTTTTGCATTCTTAAGGCGTCTTTGTTGCGGAGCATCAATGAGGTGCTCAGGACTTGCCAGCCCCACGTTTCTGAAGCTGTCAGTGAGTCCAGTGGCATTGCTAATGGAGCATCCCCACCGCCGCGAGCGCCATGTGCCGCCTACGCTGCCTGGAATGCTTCTTCGACTGGTCTGTTTGGCATTTCATCCTGCCCGCGCATCCAAAGCGGTCCCCAAGTGGCAACAAGCAACCTTGCAAAAACTGCCGTGTCACGCTGCCGGGCGTAAAAGTTTCGGCAAAAAGTAGGAGCAAACGCGAGCGCCGCCGTCGTGGCAGTGGCCAAAATCCTCACTGGCTGACCTTGCGTGGACTGCCTCACTGGAGAGTGACCTGCAGCAGGAAAGGTGTCTGCCACATTCCCCACAGCTGCCGGAATGCCGCCAGGATCGCGACTGGCAACAGCGTGACTCTTCTATGACGTCGTGAGATATAAATGGAGGGACCACCTTTTTACGCGGAGGCAGGAAGCTTCTGGAAGTGACACGAGGCTACCAGGGGCGAAGCCACAAGTGTGGAGGGACAAGCCCCCAACAATGACCAAAACCAAGAGACGGGGCCCCGAGGGTGACCAAAACAGCTGTTGAGTCAGCTCTGCTTTCTGTCCAACAGCTTCTCTTAGTCTTGGTCATCGTTTGGGCATGTCCCTTCACGCTTGTGACTTCGCCCCTGGTGGTCTCATGTCGCTTCCAGAAGCTTCCTGCCTCCAGGACTTTTTAGGATGCAGTGAATGCACCAGTCGGGAGATGTGTACCTAGCAGCATAATCCCGCCTGTTTTACTGAATTGCTGTTCTGGCCCCGCAGCAGCCCGCCCAGCCCGAGCCAGTGGTCTTCCTGCTCGAAGCAGTACCTCCAGTCGGCGTTTGAGCAGGGCATGGACCACTGCCTGTGGAACCTCCCGGACGACATTGTGGGGCCCGTGTGCGGCAACGGCTTCCTCGAGGCGGGCGAGGATTGCGACTGCGGCCCTGTCGAGGTGGGCTCCGTCGGCTGCCGTCCCAGTCGGACTGCGGCTCTTTCTCCACTTGTGCTCCTTCGACGCCACTCTTCCTGGTTAAAATATTGCGAGGGCATATTAGCCGTGACTCATACATTCTAAGCTCATTATAACAGACTTTGATTTTGACAAAGATTTCGGTCTGTTTTAAGAGGAGCATGTTGTATGCAGATATGAAGTTGAGTCAATGGTATGTAGAGGAAAACCAACCGAACTTCGCAAATTGATATGTTATATCCGAATATCTGTTGTAACCAGGTCTGCTGTAATGAGCGTAGACTGAAGTTGTTGGATTGTTTCATGGAAACAGTTGGGCAACAATTACAAAGAAATGTGAAGATAAAGTACTACCGTATGTTTAAAAATTGGTCCAAGTTGTGCCTCGAGTCGAAGTGCAAAGTAACGTAGGACCTATGTGCTACTTAGAGCAAAGTAGTAAGGTACATTGGGTGCAATGTACTTTGACTAATGTACACTGGTCACCAAGCTTATACAGAATGTGCAAACTGTGTCCTGTCTGACAGGAGGGCTGTCCTGGCAGCAGCCTAAGAACTGCTTTGTGACATAGCACTCGATGGAATAGCCTGAGCAGGGGAAGTCGCTGTACAGTATGTCCAGTATACTTTAATTGTAAAATACATTAACCTTTCCACGCAAGATTTTTCATACTCTTTCATTCGCCCGAAGTAACCTTTTCAAACTGCTATAATAGTAATAATAATGTTTACTTTCTGTGTCCTCCCTCTCTGGAGTGCTAGAATGTTTAATCTGTCTGTCCGGTCAGTAATGATGGAGATAAAAATAACAATGTCATCAGATTAAGATTTTATTCCATCGATTTATCTCGCTGCGCATATATAAAGTAACTCGATGGCACAATGTCAGTGGTGACAAACATAGCGCTCCTGAAGCTAGGTATTAATGCACCAGCTTCCAGAGAGGAGCTGTGACCACCAAAATTCAGTACAGTTCAACCTCGATTTAACAAAGTCACCGAGACCCGCTAATTATTTCGTTAAAATAGGGAACTTCGTAAAACCGAGGAAGGGAGACCTCGCGCATAGGCTACGCGGGGAATCCGAATTTGCTCATTAAATTGGGGAATTCGTAAAATCTGGTTTCGTTAAATCGAGGTTCAACTGTATAGTGTTCTAATTTGCTAATCTGCCGACGTTCATTTTGGAACATTCAGTGAATCAAAGTTTTTTTGTCTACTGTCTCTAGTAAAATGGTGAGTGCTTGGCTTATAAACTAAGACTTACCCAAGCTCGAGAGGGAAAGTTCTTGCATCTCTTTTCTAATTGGTACACGAGTTAGTTGATGTCTTCCCTTCCAAGTGTGTTTCCGTTGTGCCCAATTTAATGAACTGTGCATCCGGTATGGATTTTGCCTCAAAAAGTATTTTCTATCAGCGAGCGGCGATGCTAATGCATATAAGTCATAATCCATATGAGAGTTAGCACATAATCGTTGACCGCTCTGTACTTGCGTTGTCGTGAAGTGTCGGCGGTGTGTTCGCTTTTAAGGCATACAAGCCGCCAAAACCGGCATTTTAAGATGCTGCCAATACGAGTGGTTGGCAATCGTGTGTTCACCATCCCATTGATTGTGACTGTAGATGTGTGTTATTGCATATTAGCTCACTATTTTCTTGCATTTACTGGATATTATGCTCAACTAGATTAATAGGTCTTTAAAATACAATATTGGCCTTTTCCTCTCCAATTTTGTTTACTTATTTTTTTATTGACACTGCTCGCCTCGTCAGGGCTGTAGCAGGAGTGGTACACGCACAAAATACAATAATAAAAAGTTATAATTATAATAATAAATAAAATAATAATAAGATGTAAGCCATGAAAAATGATTGATTGATGGATGCTGAAAATGGCAAAGCTTTTGAAAGACACAATATCATGCCATTTTTGTACCTTTGTGTCTCTGGGAAACTGCCCTATGCCCCTGCTCCCTTCGACAAAATAGTTCCGTCGAGAGGCTCGACTTGAGCAATCGTTTAAACGGGTATTTTTTAAATTGTTGCTTAGTGTTGCTAAACTGTAGTTGAAAGCCCTGCAGGAAAGCCTTCCCCAACTTCAGACGTAGCAATGCGTTTGTCTCTTTGCCTGCCTGGTGAGAACAGAGTGCAGCTCCCAGCAGTTAGGTAGTTAGAATTGAAGAAGCATGGTTTTGTAGTTCATATCTTGCATGGGGGATATCGAGAAGTGTAATTAGATGGCAAGCATTGTACTTTCCCAAATCTTTTAAGAAGATCAGCAAGTTGAAGCCATTTGAAGTTTCTTAGTAGGGTTCACCTGTTTTGAGTAGAGTTATGATGAGAGAGAGTTTGGGGGAACCTGTATTTGACACTACCTGGGAATGACAACTTTTGAAACGCCTACTCAACCGGCGTGAAATTTCCAGGCGGTGTTTGTAGCCATATAGAAGGAGGGCATGCAAAGTTTTAACACTGTGAACCAATTTTATGAAATTAATGAAAAATTAATTTTCATTAATTTTTTAAATTAATGATTAATCATTGATCAAAAATTAATGAAAATATTCCCCACATTTACCAAGTTTTGCAAATTACAATTTTTCATACTTATAGCCTCGTCCCACTAGAGCGACAAACACCGGTTTTTGTCCGACGACACCACAAAGTTCCGTGTCGCCAATGCTGTCCCACTGCAACGACCGACACCCACGACAATCGCCGACAAGCGCCGACAAACGATCGACGACGGACGAGTTCTTGTCTGTCGTTGGACTTGAAGCACAGCAAGCAGTCCCACTGAGGAACATCTCTCGGAGACAAACATATCCTCCTCGCCCGTTTATGCCTTCTGTTGCCTCCCTTCCCACCCTTCTACCCTTCCTCCTGGAACGAGAAGCCCTTGGCGGCCGCTCCTCGTTCCCGGCCCCGCAGTTCCGGTCCCTCGATTGCACGTAGAGGTCGCGGGCGCGGCTTGCTGGCTGGCGCCGGGCGGTCATGTTACGAAAGGGACTCTGCTGTGGCTGGTTTTGCTCGCGAAAACTTTGTGCTCGAGGTGGTGCTTCAAGACACCGAAGTCTACGCCCCTGCATCAGGATGGATACACCCATGTGCGAGGACTGACCAAAGTAAGACCGCTCACCACGAAGTAGGACACGACGTTCCGCGGCAAGCCATTCCGGCAGACGAGAGACTTGTCATCACGTCTGTGATAATCGGGATGCAGTATTGTCCACCAAAGAGCGCCTGCCCTCGATTATTCGAATATGAAGTTATAAACATCCTTAAAATCAGTGCGAAACTCCGTGGCGCTCACCTAGAATGCCTCGAACAGCCCAAAAAAGGTACGATTCGGGTATTTCTAGTTCGGAAAAAGTTACTGTTTAAGAAAGTCGCCAACGGAAAATGAAGAGAAGCGGAAGCTTTAATCAAAAAATAAAGTAATCGTATCCACTTTCACCGTGTTTGTCGGCGCGTTTTATGCCCAAAGAGCAAAACACGGAAACCGCGTCGCCAGACTCTGTTTGTCTGTGTATTTTGAAGTGTTTTGTTGACAACTCCAGTCCCACTAGGAAACATGTTTCCTTGCCCCCGTATTCTGCGTCGTGTCCGCCAGGTGGGACGGCGGACTCCGACAAACAGGTTGTCTGCCGGTGTCGTCTGTCGCTCGTTGTCGTGTGTCGCTGTCGTTTGTTGCTGTCTGTCGCTCTAGTGGGACGCGGCTATAAAAGAACATGAAAATGCAAAATCTAAGTTCATAGTAATTGGATCCATAAATTTCGGTACATCGCAAAAATTAAGTCTCTCTATAGTTTCATACTGAAACGATAGATTTATTAAGTGAACTTTATGCCGAAAAGTGGAACGGTGAAAAATGCATTCAAAGTGCTTGAACCTCTACCCTTTCTTTAGCATCGGTACTCTGAAAATAATTTCTGAAAAAAATAACTATGCAGTGTAAACAAATGAAACTTTCTGGGAATACTCTCTAGATGTTGGCAGATGTAAATATGGCATTTTTCAAAATCAACATTTTTTGCAGAACTTTTTTTCTTTTGGGTACGTTTCTGGAGCCACTTGTACAAGCCAGCTGTCACATTATGCTCTCTTGCAGTTTTGCAAGAATCCGTGCTGTGACGCAGCCACCTGCAAGTTTAAGGAGCAGGCTGTGTGTGCCATTGGAGCCTGTTGCGACATTTCCACTTGCCAGGTGACTTGATTGAGTTTGTTTCGTCGCAAAGAGAAGTCAAAACTGGAGGCCCTGAAAACGTCTTGTAGCAGCTTGCTATGCTTCATAACTGGGCTATCACTGAATCCCTACATCTGGTACGGAGAGCTTAATATTTTGTCCTAACAGTGCTTGCCGCAAGCTCTGGACCTCTGGTTTGATTTCCCAGTTTTACTAGCAATGTCTCTTTTCACCGCGAGTATTCTTTGGAATCACTGGTATGAAAGCATATGCCAAACTCTAAAAAAGAGCGCCTGCTTTCGAGGTGAGCAGATTGAAATGCATAAAAAAAAAATTGCCGAAGTGACGTTGTGCGTGAAAGAAAAAAAAAGGTTGAAGGAGAGTGAGCTCGTGAAATAATTGAACAAAATTTCATGCGAGTATTCAGTGTACATTGGTAAACTCGAAAGTTGGAAGTGACCTGCACCGCGAACACTAGCAAATGGCGAGTAAAACCAAACGAGATGGGTGTGCACCAACAGATTTGCGGGATTCGTCAGTTCGAAGTGCACAGTAGGCAGGCTTCAGTGACGCGTGAATGCGTTGCACGCTTTATCTTTTACGAGCTGTCATGTCTCGATGGCTATAAGACTCCACTGTTTTTCCTTACAGATGGAAGTGCGACTTATGCGAATCTCCTCTTAATTCAACCTTGATATGGGAAATGGAAACCTGCTTTTGTTTTTCGTTATCGGCTAAATTGGTTCGACATATTAGACCAAAAGGCCACTTCGGTCTCCCTTTGAAGGCCAAACTATAAAACCTCCAGCATGGTTGAAACTGTCTTTTGTTGTTCGTATTTTTCCACAAGAGGAACGAGTTTTCGAAGGAGATGTGCTTTGAACTCGGAGGTGCCATTTTCGGTGCAGCTCCGTGGAGGGCACTTGGCTCACTTGCCCGTGGTCATTGAGAACAATCGACTTTTAGGGGCGCTGTCCTTCTCAGCACGGCTGAGCGTGCTCAGTGTGCTATTGTCGTAATTCAAAGACTTCAAAACCTGCCTTTCAGATCAAAAAGGCTGCCACGCTTTGCCGCGATGCTGTTACCGAGTGCGACCTCCCAGAATACTGCGACGGGACCTCGGAGTTTTGTCCTGTGGACGTGCACGTGCAGGATGGAACGGAGTGCGGAGGTGGCAAGGTGAGTTGACCGACGGGTTTTCTGCACGCTCTGCCTTCCGGCATGAACTACTTGTCCGCGCGTGACACCCGCCTCCAATCATTTGGAGGCTCAGGTGGAACGGTGCTGCATATCGGGGGTTTCCAGTTGGTTGTGTTCACCTAAAAACATTGATAAGCGTACACATAATGATTGTGCTAACACTGCCATTTCCAGATCTGCCATTGGAAAGGCTAGAGAAACCAACCATACAGTGGAATCCACTTATAACGATACCACATATAACGGTGTACCGCTTATAACAATCAGTTTCTAGAGTTTCTAGATTGGAAATAATCAGTTTCTAGCCCAGATACAAGGATAATCGGTTATAACGATTGAAATTTTGGGTTTTCTCATTATCGTTATAAGTGGGTTGCACTGTACTAATGTTTCACATGTTCATTGCAGTTTTGCACGCTTTTGTGCTGTGCTGTTAGCTTCCCTGTACGTTTCCCTTTCACCAATGTCATGTTCTGGGCTCGCACATGCGTATGCCGAGTAGCTATCAATAATGGTTCGAATTTGAAGCGAATTCGAAGCAAGTAGTAATTTTGATAGAATATTATTGTCTAGGCAAAAATTAAATAGCTGCGTGACAAACTTGGCCATAAAGTGCTTGCACAAAGTTGTTGCGACACAATGGAACATGCAAGACCATGTTGGTAACGTACAATGTAGACGTGCAAATACGGTTGCAGCCATTATGTAATTTTTGTTTCTTCCGATTTCTGGTTAGTGACTTAGGGTGCGGCTCTCGTACGCCCTTTGTAAATGTGACTCTTCACTTAAAAAAATATGAATAGTAATTCTTGTGTAAGCATATATGGACTAGTGCATTCCTTGAAGCTACTCTTACAGCAATTAAACAGTCTCATAACAGTAAAACAAGCCCAATGTATTAGTGCTGTCAAGACCGGTTATTACGAAGTCTTTGGGAATCGGAAATCGCTTTGCTATACCGTTTTTTTATTTGTTGACACCCCCAAAAAAAGAATGATTCATATAAATTAGCGACAGACCACCATTGATCAGTCATCATCCATGCTTTGCCAGCTCTAAGGCAAGGTGCTGGCCTAAGGGTCCCTAGGTGGCAGGTTCAAATGAGCCTCCGCATTTGCATGGAAGCTCATTGCAAAGATCATTTTGGTTGCACGTCAGAAGATCCCCAGGTGGTCCAAATTAATCTTTAATCCTCCACTGGGATGTCTCAGATGCCCTTCGTTGGTTTGTCACGTGAAACCCCCAAATTTGTTGTAGTTGTCGTCGATGTTGCTGTGGCTGCAGTTGTCGACGGTGGCTGTAGCGATCACATTTGCGGGGCCACATTGCCGTCACGAGGCAGCAAGCAGCGCATGTGATGAGCTTGTACATATGTATGAGAATGTGTCTTCTCAGCCGAATTCTGTGAGAAAACCATTTTGAAGGACTGTTGTGAAGAACTCACGAAAGATTGACATCACGTGACATCATGACATCACACGACTCTGTCATGACACCCGTGTGAAGCCACATATACACATAGCATGTGCCCAGCTCATTCACAGCACATCCTATGTTCCCTGGTCTTTGTCAGCATGATCAAGCTAGTGTAATTATTTTCAAACCTTTATGCGAATCTTTCGGCATGCTTTATTTAATTTTGACCAAAACTATTGTTGCAGAGACAATGATGGACAGCTACTTGAAGGACAAAACACGAGTGCATGCTGTTTTTGCTCGAGCAGTTCTGCCATATTTACCGGTCAGGTCTCCTGTTCTTTCTACAGGTCGCCATCTGATATGTATGTCATAATCACCCTCACACTATCTAGACTTGCATTGTTGCTGCTTGCGTCTTGCCGGCGCAACCTTCCGGCAAGCCTATGCAATAGCCGATGAGGATGATGATGGTAGTGGTCGACTTTCAGGCTGCACATAGTGACTACGCACTAATTTAGTGTGTCGCACCGATATAGCACCCGTCCGCGGTATGTTCAATATCGTTCGCCGGTAGTTTCTTTCATCTTTAGCTTGATTTTTTGCCCACTTTTCAAAGAAAACACTTTCCCAGCAGCTCAATTATGCTCGTTGCATCGAACATGCCTAAGATATTCCGTCGCTGTATCTGGATAACTTTTTCATAGACCCATTGCAAAAATGCACGATTCCCAAGAAGCTGATTGTTATACGCGATAGATTGTTATATATGGCGTCGCTATAAGTGCATTGCACTGCACAATGCATTTGATGGTGTAAAATGTAGCGCATGAAATAGAATGAAATGTCTCCGTGTCGCCCAAAAGAAATGCCACAGACGAATTCTTTTCGGAGCTTTCTCAGTTTGTGTCGGTGAGAGGGCGAACAGTTATCGTCCCTCTTTGCCACGAGAGTGGAAGTTGGAAGCGTCACTTTGGAGACTTGTGGAGAGGTGGTTCCCCGTGAAGTCAAGCGTGCGGGTCCCTGCAGGCCTACTGCTTCCGGAAGCAGTGCCGTTCGCACGAGGACCAGTGCCAGCTGCTCTGGGGGCCCACGGGACGCATGGCGGACCAGCGCTGCTTCGAACGCAACGATGTGGGGGCCGTGAACGCCAACTGCGGCTATGTCCGCCTCAACAAGACCAACAAGAAGTGCCACAGAGAGTGAGGGGCCTCGCCTACTTCAATTGCCACACCCCGGTTGACGCTTTCGGAACGCATGTCCGACTAGCGTTTGTCTTTGGCCGCCCAATGCCTTGGGCGAGGACAGTGTTGCGACGGTCCAGGATGCCTCTTTGGGCAGGAGAAATTTGGGGCACCAAATAAGGGCGGGGGAAACGGTTTGGTCAAAGACACATTTGAGCACCTTGCAGCACTCCTCTCCGATTTTTGCTGGGGCTCACCAAGCTCCAAGGGCTCCTGTATCTCGAGAGACCTTGAGAGACAGCCATGAGACCTTTTCCTTCTGCAAAGGTCTTGCAGCGAGCAACTAGACATGCGGCGAGCTCACAAGCTTCGCTGAGGTGTTGCGAAGGAAGGTGGAGAGTGGTTGGCTCGTGGTGATCGGTTTATCGCCAAGACTGGGCCAACACTACAAATGCTTTTTCATTTCATTTCATTTATTATCCCTTAAAGGCCCCACCAGGGGCATTGCATAAGGGGGGGGCAATACAAAGAAGCACACAAGTAGAACTTTTATACAATAAAAACAAGAAACAAAACATAGAAACAAGATGTGGCTGAGCACTGGCCATAGGTAGGAGCATCGCACTGATTACATATTAAATATAGACTATACAGCATGTCTGAAGAAGTCGGGGTCACTGATGAGCACTACATGGTCCGGTAGATTGTTCCACTCTATTATGGCAAGGGGAAGAAATGACCTGTTAAAGGTGACAGTGGAACCATGGATGCGACGTACACTAAGGGAGTTAAGAAGTCGTCGGGATGAACGATGCGGTTCTAACAGTAGAGACTGCCTGAGTAGAGGGTGGTAATAAAAAATCTTCTGGAAAAGACAGATGCGTGATATTCTTTGGCGAGAAATGAGAGTGGGGAGGCATAAGAAATGAGAGTGGGGAGGCACTAATAATCAGTCAATCTACCAATTTTATTTACTCTGTCTTTGATCTCACGTGCAAGTGTAAATTTCTGATAAGCCTCTGCGGCTCGTGCGTAGGGTTGCTAGAGGAATGCAGTTTTTTTTTAAAATTAGTTCTGCATTTCTTTTTATGTGGATCAGAGATAAAGGCACAATGCCTGACAGGGTCTCTGCTCCCCTATGGATCAGGAGCTCGAGATAATCATTTAATTTTAAATATGCGATATCGTAAACAACTTAATTTTTGCATATTTTGCGACTCTAATAATACTATTACCAAAGATTGATCCTGCGAATATATTACCCTATGGCAGTGGTTCTCGAATAAGGGTCTGTGGACCGGTCCCTGGAGGAATTTCTAGGGTCTGTGAAGCCCTCAATCGTCGGTCCAGCCAAGCAATAAAACTTTCTTCTAAAATTGTTGATGGCTGTCCCACTAAGCTAAATAGACCAAACCATGTGTGCCCAGTGAGTAGGGTTGATTATTCTCAGTTTCAGGGCTTGAAAGTAGGTTTGCAAACATTTAGTTTTAATCATTTACCCTTTGGTCATTGTAATTGCCCAAAGGCTCTCTGGAACATTGGTGGCTGAGAACCATTGCCCTATGGTAACGGATACATAGCAAACCACTCTCAATTGCAAAATATTATGCCCTTGAAATATGTCCGAAACCCACATTTCACAAAATTAGCGAAATATCGAGCCTGCAATAATAAAGTTAATGACAGTATTGTACAAAATAATATAGCAAAACAAAGCAACGTGAAGACATAAACAAGAAAATAATTTTCTGGTAGAGACCATAAGATAATGTCACAAAATATTCATTGGATTAACAACGGTCAAGTGGAAGTCAGTAATGAAAAATAATGTGCATAAAATGATAAAAAAAAAAAAAAAAAAACCAACTTACATTTGCAAATTTTATTCAGCTTTTACATGATATCACGAGAAATCCGGCCTTGGGGGAGATAGTTATTCGGTAGTATAGCAGTTTTAACAAACCTGTGGGCAATTGTATGGTTGCATGCCTCTCCGAACGCTACACAATTGCACCCTGTTGCAATAGAAGCTGTTTGGCTGCTGCCGTCGGCAGGTGTTTGGAATTTGACCACCGTTTTCCACGCTTGCCCAAGTGACGATTTTTGCGTATAGCTGCGATTTTGTAAATGTTGCAGTTGTTTGAAGGAAGAGTACAATTGGGATGGGGCATATACGGCGACAGTAACTTCACATGCCACGTGTGAGAACGGCAAGGCATTGGGGATGCACATCGTCTGGCAGGAGCACTGACAGGGTTTCCGTCTGTGCAGCGACGTCATGTGTGGCATGCTGCAGTGCGTCCACCTGAATGAACGGCTGGAGTTTGGCATTGAGTCGGCGGCCATCCAGTCCAAGTTTTTCATCACAGACGAGAAAGGAAGGACCTTCACGTGCCACTCGGTGATTGTGGACCTGGGCCTGTTCAGTCAGGATCCAGGCCAGTCCCCCAATGGTGCCAAGTGCGGCACCAACAAGGTGGGCCCTGCAACATCCTTTCCTGGCCTTGCATCATACGGGGCGTTTGTCTGCCCTCATTCAGAAAGGGGCACCCCTCGAGTCGGGCCGAATTGTGGCACTTCAGCGAAAAACATTGTTCTTTTCTGCTATAAATGAGCGATTAGAAGGAGCATTTGAAGGTGTAGGAATGCTTTGTGTCTGCTCCTTTCAGGCCTGCTTGAACCAGAAATGTGTTCCCCTCGAGAAGCTGTATGGTGTCAAGTGTCCGTACGACTGCTACAACAACGGGGTAAGTAACCAGCATTTCTCAGAACCGTCATGTCAGTGGTAGGTGCACCGTGGGAGCAAGTGTAGTGTGGGCCTGAGACAGTGCTCCCAGCTTTGATAGGCCCTTTCATTGAGGTTACTCACCTTTTTGTTGTTGTGGAGCGCTCTGTGAGCCTAGTATCTTTTGCGCGGGCATTTCAAGTGGCATCCAGCCAAAAGCATTAAGATGAGTTGCTCAATCTCCTGGCTCTCGTGTTCCATGTGGCTTGTACAGTCACAGTCATACCGCACTTAACTGAGCGAATTCGAAGCCTACTTCGCATATTTTGGTCTTTTTTCTATGTGCCCGTACATGCTTTTGCACTACTGCCGCATTATTTGCTTTTATGTCCCATTACATCTGCACTATTATACTTGTTTTTTTCTGCATTATTATTCACTGCCACGCTGCATTTAAGTGTGATTAGACTGTACTGGTTCTCTTGTTGCTGGACAGTTAACGTTCCGGTATTACTCCTTAACGTTACCGGGCTCGGTAACGTTCTGGAGCGATACCGGAACGTTTCACGTGTAACGCAATTTCCCAGCAATTTGATACGCAATTTTTTTTTGTCATAAAACACCTTTGCTGTAGTATGGTGCCTGGAATGCATCTGTGACAGATGTGTTTGCCACGTCTATTTCGACCCACCAATTTGTAGCTGGTAATGAATGTCACAACTGTGTAATGTTGTGACATTGCACGCTTGCGAGATCAGTGGGTCTCAGCGAAACAGAAGCCTTGTTCTGTCGTAGTTTCCTCTGTAGCCGCCCATTCGACGGAACCTCAGAACAGCTACTGGTTGGGACGTTGCGAGGACGCCGACGCCTGCGTCCTGTTGTCTTCTTTGCCGATGCTTCTACAACTAACTTCCATGGTTACAATACCTTGTAGCATTACCCAGTGGCTCCTGTAAGCATATTTTGTGGCCACTTCGAGCACCAGTGGGAGACACATTCGAGGCACCATAGCTATGGCATCAAAAACACTTTGGACTACTTACCTCTTAAGCCCATGTTGCTCCTTGACTCATATGTGCACAAACTGAGCGAGCCGTCGAACGAAGGGGCACCGAGACAACCCCTGACGCCAGTGTTGCTGGGCATTTTAACTGCTGCATCACGTGAGCAACTCTGGCAAACGTTTGTGCAGGTTTGCAACAGCCACGGCAACTGCCACTGCATGGTGGGTTATGCACCTCCCTACTGCAACTACCCGGGACCTGGGGGCAGCGCGGAGAGCGGTCCTGCCTCGGACCCTTCCGGTGAGTTTTGCCGAAGCACGCCCCCTCCCGCCGCGCTTGGTGGTGCCTGCTTGCAACAGAAATTGGGGGTGTCGGCGTTGCATGCTGTCATCTTAAGGGGTGTCCAAACAGGACACTACAAAACCCGTGACTCCGGCAAATCGTGCCGCGCTCTGCCGCGATCCGCTTCCGGCCGTCGGAGGGAAATTTCCCTCCGTCAATTCTTCCCGGGGGGAAACTTCCCTCCGTCAAATCTCCCCCTCGCTTCCTCCACGGCGGCCTTGCTCTGCTTATCACGTGGGTCCGGAGAGCCACTCACACGCTCTGTTGGCTGTCGGTCCATTGCTCAAGGCCTCCGCTCACAATACGGAACCGCATCGGGCGCCATAACGACGAAAGTGAATCTCGACAAAGAAAGCAGATCCGAGGCGGGCGAAACGCACCCTTCGACGCAGGAATGTCCCAAATCCACCCAAGGACCTCCTTGGCCTTCGAGCCGAGGCGACGGCAGTACGCGAGGGCGTTGGCGAGGTAAGCCAGACACAGGTGGCGTGTGACGTCAATCTGAAGAGGAGAGCAGTCGTGATCGTAAAAATTTTCACGACTCCTGCAAACATTTTCACGACTCCAACAGACCGTAAAAATAGAAGCGTCCGCTTCAATTTTCACGATTTGTCGGAGTCGCGGGTTTTGTAGTGTCCTGTTTGGACACCCCTTTAAAGGGACACTGACGGGGTATTTATGCTTGCCAAGGTTTTCATTTGTACATGACATGTACAAATGAACCAACTACCCCGAACATGCCCAACTACCCAGAACACAATTTGCGGCTCAAAATTTGTTTCCTTTCCACTTGAAAACCGCCGATGAAGAACCGGCTGGTTTGAGTCACGCTCACTCTCTTCTCTGTGGTCACGTGCCATTCTCTATGGTTTAGACACACACACCAAATATAATTGAAGTCGTGGGTCATCGAAGGCACACACTCAATATTAAAAATAGGAAATAAATAAGATACCTATTTTTTGTGGCTTTTAAAAAGCTGCAAATATGTAGGTTTATTGAAAAACAAGAAAAGAAAGGTACACAGAGAACGGGAAGTACTCTGTGCATTCTCTGCGTAATTCACAACATGGCGTCTTATTGCTGAGTTGCGGGCTGGACGACTAAATGAAGCGGACTGAGCGAATGCAGCGGACAGGGGTCGTGGGACCTCTACTTCAAAACTATTGTTAGCGGTACCGGCAAATCTGTCTAGCTTCGAAAGAGAAATCTTTTACCGATCAAAACAATCAGGATTTATTCCGTACGACACGCCTGACCATCAAGCTGGTTCACACGAAGGCGTTGCCGAATCGTCGCCTCTTCTCCTGGCTGAAGACATTGCTCGTCTTACGAATGCTTGAAAAGTGTGCAAACGTCAAGCACTTGGTGCTTGACTTTGGCGTTTTTCGTGCAACGTGCGACGTGTGAGTTTTTCATCTGCCTCGCACAACCGGAAAAATAAAGGAAAAAAAAAAAAAAAGAAAATGCGGTTGGGTGCAGCCACGTGACTTCTGGCAACTCTGTCCCCCTCTACATTTTTCTTCCCCAGTTCAGTTTCGGTTTTGGCTTCAAGCAGTTGCATTTTTTTTTACTTTTTAAAAATATATGTGACGCTGTTGCAAAATATTGACTGGAAAGTCTTCTGACACCATATTAAATTGCCTAACAAAAATTAAAAAAAAAAAAAAAATTTTTTTGGGGGGGGTGTGCCAGTCTTTTTAAGGCTGCCGGAGCTGACCAAGGGGTAGTGTAGCATGCAACTCGAAATGAGATGTGTGCTAGTTTAGTTGGCCTCTTGAGACTCGTTTTAGCTGAATTCGGTGTGCTGTTGCAGGGTTTGGTTGGCGAGTGGGTTAATACTAGTGAGGATTGGGGCCTCAGACTCGGACATCCCAAGCTGCATGCTTGCACTTCTCAGTTTTGATGTGGACGGGCGTTGTTCTGGCGTTTTGTAACCACTGCTGTGGAACATGCATCAAGGACCTTAGATTAGCAGTTAGGCTACACTGTCCAAATGATCCCCTACAGTGGGGTTGTACAACACCATTTCGAGATGATCGATTTTCTTCGGTTCAAACGTGAAAGGTAACAGATTGTATCTTTGAAGGGCATGCTGGTATTGGTAACGGCTTGCGTGGAGCCCTTTTTGTTTCTTTCTACATAACTTGTTTGTAGATTTTACTTCTAAATATGCTTTTACTGTTAGCTTTACGAGCTTCTTTGGTGCATATCAAACTTTTGGAATGAGCGTAGGGAAAGACGTTGGTACATTCATTTACCTTTATGCTAAGAAGTTCTATTCAATGGATTCAGTTTGGGTAAGGCCCCTGTTCCTGCATTGAGAAGTGATGGTAAGGGTGGAAGCGTTTTGAGTACCGCTACAGTACTCAAAACGCTCAAGGTCCAGTGACTCGAGGTGCCTGCAGCTGCTGACTTGCCAGCATGGCACTGCTGACTCCTGTCCTTGTGAATTGCAGGCGGCTATGGCTTCATGGTGTCTATGTACATCATCTTCCTGTGCATTGTGCCTCTGGCTGCTGTGACCACCTTCTCCATCTACTACTTCCGAAGGCACCTGAAGACATGGTGGATGACCAAAGCCCGCAAGGCGGCCATCAAGTATGTGTTTTTTTTTATAAAAATGGTGCATCTCAAGCACGTCGGGTCAATTTTAGCAGAAACCAAAGCGGCTGAAGGAAAAAACAAATATATAGGAGAAGCCGATGGACTTCCGCAAGTTTTTCCGTGTTGCTGCAACTTGTGCGCTAATACTTCTGTCGCATTTCGTGTAGCCAGAACTCTGGTCTTTGCGATAAATAGTGCATTATAAAACCTCATTTCTAAATTTTACAACAGATTGCAAAAAAAAGAAAAGAAATATTTCTGGATTTAAGTGAACGCGACTATTGATGGCTGTGTATGGGTGAATGGATGCAACAGGAAAAAACGGATGCTCACTTTATTTTGTGTCGGTGGTCTTGGATCACCCAGGCTTGCACAAAATTAAGCTTTCTTTTTTTTATATGAGTTTTCCTGTAGACAGCCGCAACCCCCTTTCGCCATCGCTTGATGAGTGTGCTGATCTTCATTGGGACTCTTTCCGAGTCTCGGTCAGAGCAAGCCCAAAGTCCTCGACTCTATCTACCCGCTTCCATCTCGGTCTAAATATGCGATCTGCAGTATGGCAGGCGTGTTCCGATTGAGCTGTCCTCTTGTGATAGAAGAATCTAAGCGAGACCAATGAACAGGACAGAAACGGTCGCGATGTCGCGCAGCTGCAGCGTTACGCGATGACTTGCATTCTGCTTTGCACAATTGATTTTTTGCGCTCAACCCTTACAACGAAGAGACTTGTATGACAAAAATTTTTGCCAGTCTCGTGGGATTTGTTATAACGGCTTTTGACCGTGTCAGTGCAGTTCTACTGTATACCGTAAAATACTGAGCATCCGCCTTTCCACAATAAATCCCCACCCCTCAATTTTGTAACATTCGAAAATACTCAAAGGACATATCTTTACATGTATTATTGAGCTAAGGAGCGCCCATCCCCCAGTTATACACGATTACATCTCCACATTTTGAGTGGGCGAGGATTTCACGGTAGGTTTTCTTCCTTTCTTTTAACATTGCATAAAACAGTAAGAGGCCATGGCTCTTGTGCATCTTTCGTGACTCTTCTAGAAAGGAAGACTATAATTATTTAGCGTCGTCGTACAATTTCTATCTCATTTCAGGTGAGCACACCGTTGAGAAACGGGTGGCAAGAACGTGGGCACTAAGCGCCATTCCAAACCAAAACTCTTGCCCACTGCCCGCACTCGGGCCACTTGTTTGTGAACAGTGCGTTTGTCTAGCGATTCAAATGTTCGGGAAGCTTTTGAGACAATTATTAAAAGAGATGCTGATTATGTAGCTACGCCCGAGCTAATGCCTCGGGACGGCCGCTCTAAATGTGCTCAGGAGCCGTGCCCAGCAGACGGCCAACCGGCGTGGCAGCAGGCCGCTCTCCAAGTTCAACGTGGACGCAGAGGCCCTGAAGGCGCTCGAGATCTCGCCTCCCCTGACGCAGCCGAGCTGCCCCCCCGTGCGCCAGAAGAGCTTCCGCAGCGCCGACATCTCCCGGCCAGTGCTGCAGAGCACGAGCAACAGCCGCGCCGCCCCGAGTCGGCCCGCACCGTTGCGGCCGGCGCCTGCGCGGCCGTCGTCGGTGCAGCGTGCCCCATCGTGCCCCGCGCAGGGCACCGGGCGGCCGCGCGTGGCACGTTCGGCGAGCCAGCGCAGCACGGGGCCCCGCCCTGCCCAACCCCCTCCGCCACGGCCGCCGGAGGGCACCCTCTACGACGACTGTGCAACTTCACTCCAGTTTGCGGGCACGCCGCTCGCGTTCGTGCACGGCGAGCAGAGCGCACCCCTCTACGCAACCCCCGACCGGCCGGCACCGACGGGCGTGGCGGCGTTGGCGCGAAGGTTCGAATGCGCCGGCACTTCGCCAACAGCCCGCGGCACAGCGCCGCAGTCGGAGCTGCGACCGTACAATACGTCGAGCTCGTCCTGATTTCCCACCTCGTCGGAACGGCCGTTTGGACCCGATTTGCTTTGATCGGCCAAGAGTCGCTCAATACTCTCGGACTGCTGGAACTTGTGAGTTTTTACTTACCGTCGGTCGACTCCACGGAACCGGACGGCACGATGCTGCATGTGCCCAAAATTGTCCCGGTGTACATTCGTTCCGAAAGCTAGATGGACGCGAGCGAAACGAGCAGAACCAACTTGCGTTTTTCCCCCATCTGGGACAGAGACGGGCTCCGACTGGAGCCTCACGATCAAAAGAACTTAAAATATTAGGGGCCCGCTTCTTTATCTGGCCGTCGTCTATGGAGAAAGACGTGGACGGATATAGGTGCGGCATTGTGGAGGGTCTCGGTGCTCACCGCATATTGAGTGACTTTGGATTCGGTTGCGACACTGCTCTACACCCGTGCAGATAGTACGGCTGTACTTTGCTGTACTTGCAACGTACACCGTCTACTCTTCCTGCACTGGTGCGGGGCAATGCAGCTAAATGAACTGGGCCCAGTTTTAGTGCATTGCACTGCCAGATGCCGTGTACGTAGTGACCGCACGAGCCGGAACGGGGGAGTGCCGGCATTCTCCGAGGGCAGTTGCGCACGTGCAAAACGCCTGGTCCCAGCTTTTGTAGGCGGGGCATGGCAGCCGACCGCACCAGAGTTTGCGTCGGCTGGACGGCGACACCGACGGGAAGTGGGTTGTTACTTTGACAGTATTGGAGCGAGTCTCCGCGTTGGCAATGTCCCATAGTATTTTAAGACGTGTTCCTACTTAAATCTCTCCGTGTCGCGCACCTCGTCAAAGGATGTGGCAACGCCCCATGGCATTTTTTTTTTCTTCTTTTTTTTGAAAAAGCTGACAATTGTGCCTCTTTGTTCTTGTTCTGCTGTGTCGACAGTGGGGATGCAGATTTTTATGGATGTGTTACAGCAGTTGACGCGGACGATGAAGCTGCACGAAAAGCGAGTCTCTTGGCTTTTGACCCGGTTTCGGTCATGCTCGGCTTTGGAGTGGCTTTTCGTTGCTGCCGCCTGTACGGAAGGAGCATCCAATTAGTATTTTTCTAGTGTCCTCGAGGCAACCTCCACAAGTGACTGAGTCACGCTGACCAGACTGGGTTGCCTTGCAGCGCGCTGCTCAAGGACACCCTGTAATAAAAACGGATGCGCCTTACAATACACCGCAGAGTGACTTTTGTGACACGTTTATGCAAGCGCTATACGTAGCATCTTTGGAATTATCTCATTGCTCTGGCATTTATTGTTTATACGGATTAGGCTTACTGATTTCTATATGGCCATTTGTTTTTCTTCTAAAGTGCGGAAGTTGTGTACCCTTGCATCGAATATTGCTGTTTGGACACTTTTGACTAGCATTTTGTTTCAGCAGCAATTTCTCGGAGCCAGACTTTGAAGTGGACATCACTGCTTCTTGAACAATTGTGTTTTCACAGTCCCCCATCAGTAGGCCGTAGATTTTCTGGTGTTCATTTAAAAGAAAAGTTGGGAAGATGTTTTTCGGTGTTATTTGTTTCTTGAAAATGGGTGCATTTCGGTGATTTATTTGTACAGACGCTAGAAGCTATGATTATCGATGAAAAAATACCTGCGAAAAACTAAGTGTATTTATTTTTCAGTTTGTATACTATACCTTTATAACTCTCTACACTTGCCATTATGCGATAGTACTTGGAAACCGTGGACGATGGCTCTGAGTACGGGCCAAAGTTAAATTATTCTTGAAGGTGAGCGGCGGGAGCTTCTTTTTGCGTCCTGCTACTCTTCTGCTCTGCGTGATGACAAAAATTCTTCTCAAGAAAAATGTTCCAGCAAAGAGGAAGCCAAGTTGCTCTTGCTCCTTTCGCCAATTTTAATTGTTAACAGCCGTTGGTGTAGTTTCCAACACTGTCATCCAACTGTGGTCTGACTAGAACAAAGTCCTGATATTTCCTGGTGACCGACTGATTGACCTAACTCTCGTGCCACTGTCCTCTTGCTTGATTCTAGGTTGGAGAATGCATCCAACAGACATCTGTGGGAGGATTTCAACAAAAACAGCCCTTGTTCAGAGAAAAACTTTTCAGAATTCAGTGTTTTTCGTTTTTAATCAATTTGTATTTTTAACACCAGCTCGATGTGTCTCAGTTTTAACCGATTTTGTATTTTTTGACACCGGCAATGTGTATCAATGTTTTTTTGGTTTAGACTGGAAAGTCTATGGCCTACTTATCGGTGATAGCCTTTTCTTGCCTGTCTATATTGATTGGTGATGGTAAAGACAGAACTCTCGTTTACCAGCTGCATTGAAATTTACTAGTTGATAAGAATGATCTACAAAATGAACATCGTGCATCAGCAAAGTCATAGGATGTGCATTGTGTACATTCAAGTCTGTAACCATCATTTTTATGTGCATCCATGTTGTCATTTTATTACTAATTTATTCAGTGTCAGTTTGAAATTTTTATAATCTTTTCTAGATTGATGAGCATTTGTTGTGCTGGAGACATTTTAAATGATAGGATGTGCACTGTTGGTTTTAAGAAATAACGTTGACAGTCCAATGAACAAGCAATAGGATATGAACAAGAGGTCACCGGATGTCAAATGCATCTCAATGTAGGCTTACATTGTGGTGTACAATATAGTGAACAATGTGTGGCTAGTGTTTTTACCGCAGTCTTTTTACTGCACGTGCCAGTGCAGAGATAGATACATTGTATGCATGTCACAGTTTTATTTTGTTTGTTTGTACATATGTATTTACTGTGTTGGGAAGAGCTGAAATTGTTTCTGCAGAAGCATATACTAAACATGTTTTATTTATGTGATCAGAAATCTGTTTGTTTCTAGCTGACGAAAGCAGCAGAGTGCACACTTGAAATTGCCCCAGATGGCTTGCTGGGCTGCAACTGACTAATATGCATGACATTCTGTCGAGCAAGTGGTTCACTCACATATTCGTGGACTTAATATTTCGTGGAATGCGTTTTGTGGTACCAGAACACATGGGAGGCACTCCCGAGTGCATGGGAAGAGGACAGTTTCAGCTACGTCAAAGCAGCAGCATCTATAGCTTGATTGGTGTTTCCTGCCCTTTGAGAAGAGAGCAACACAAATTTATTTAAAAAGAAACACCTATGCCACATCTTGAGAAGACTGAAGAGCGCTTACCAAGAGAGCTAATTCATTTGTCCCTTGTCTGCCACAAAGGACTATCTTGCACTGCGGTGTGCTCAATGGAAGCATCGGTAGATCGGACCAAAGCCAGGGAATTTCAACTTGGATAGCTAAAGTAAATCCGCGAAAGTTGTTCCCCGGTACTCCCTCGGGGGGGGGGGGGGGGGGGGGGGGGGGAGGGTGCACTTGCGCATATGAAACACACAACTTGCAAGCCACACATTTCTGGGACAGAATTCCACAGTCGGGGGGAGGGGTGGGGAGGGGAGGGGAGGGGAAATTGGAGGTTGTTCGGAGATCGACCCCATGCATAGTTTTTCGCAGTTTCCAGTTCACGAAGTGTAAGTTATGTACAGTATTTCAGCTTTCTCAGAAGCTCTGCCTTGGATTACTGACACTTCTGGTTAGTGGCCTACTGATTTTGAGATTTGTACAAAATCTGCTTCGTAACTACCGACTGGATGCCGATCACTAAAAGACAAAATTTCTTCCATCGTGTACTCCACGACTTATGCGCAGCGGCAGTTTAACATATTTAAATAAATACACAGATGCCACGGTTTGGAGGAAAGCATGAAAAATTGCCATATGACAACCGGCACGTTAAATGTGCCCTTCCATTTGCTCAAGCTTTTTGGTCAACTGGAAGTCCTTGCGGGCTCCCACCAAGCTGCCCCAGTGCAACCAATTGGGGATGCGAGTTCTTCTTAGCAATATTTGGGGGTCAATTTGAGCCTGGTCATTTCAAAGGATCCGGGCGACCACCCTGCTGGGAGGGCACTGTTGCATCATCTGCTTTGGAAAATGAACGTAGATAAAATCCCGGGCTACTAGTGTAGACTATAAGGGCATTTTAGGATAATAAGATCATGCAGACAGTTGAGGGTAACGAATTAATATCTAGCAATATGGTTTCTACAAAAAATAGTCATATTTTCTGCCCACAATGCGCGAAGGGACGAAAGCGATAGCTGTAGCAGGGTTGTGCAATGCGGGTGAAATGGTGCCCTCACGTACCTAAGGATGGAGGTGCTACGTGATTAGGTAATTCTCATAGCCTCTGTGGTTAGCCTCGTGGATGCCACTGACAGCCGCCACCAGTGCTCCGTGAAGTAAGTGGGTAAGCGCGGTAGATGTTTCTAAAACCATCCAACATTACGCGTAGCAACTGGATACTGCCAAAGAGGGATTTCGTATAATGCAAGTAATGTTTGAAAACAAGTTTTTCAAGCAGACTACAGGAAGACTCTCCTTTCGTTGCTTCATTCCTGGCAAGACGCCGGGGCCACTGTTCTCTTGGCGCTGCGCGGCTGACGGGAAAATCAGACCTCCCTCTTTTCGTGCCAAGAGCAGAAAGAAAAAAAAAATATTTCGCGCTTGCGGCAACGTCAAAATCTCGGTAAAGTGTCGCCTGTAAAACTATTGCTTTAATAAGGCGTCTCGTTTGCTCCAAGGCAAAGTGCTGACCTATGGACACCCATTGGCAGATTAGGTTCCCAGCTGAAGTGCCCACGATTTGACAGAGGCGTATTGCAAAGAAGGTAGAGGTTTCGGTTACATCTGCAAAGATCCCCCCGGTCATCTGCCTTGGCCTTTGCTGGGGCATGCCAGGTGTCCTTTGTTGGTTTGGCACCTAAACCCCCAAAAGGATTTTAATTAAAACTTCCTAGGAAAAGGAACAATTGCAGTTATTTTTCAGGCAAGGCCAGCTGCAATAAACGTTTCCAGCACCCTGATAAAGGAAATGGTGGGGCTTCATGTCACCTAGCAAATGGGGTTGTGAGCAATGCCCCAAAGATTCCTTGGGCAAGGGACCTCCCGGTAGAATCCAGATCGGGTCGAAATTTTAAGGCCCAACTGCACCCGGACCGAGTCTATTATTTGTGCACGTTCGCCCTAACCTGATTCAACCGATAAGTATTAGCTGGCTCGTGTTGGAGTTTGACTTTGTTGGATTAAGATATTTACACTCACCGAATATGAACCCTGGAAGGGGATCTGCTAAAATGCAGAACTGCAACCTTGCAAGATGAACTTCGTTGTGGTAGCATGTGCTTAGTAGGTACTTTGCCCCTTCAAAGCCTAATCACAACAACCTTGCCTGTAAACTTGGTCTTCTCAGTGAATCAATGCGAGGACGTGCTTCTGGCTGGGAATGCACAGAACTTGGGCCTTTCTCTGGGTACTGGTGGCAGGTCTTGTAAAGGTATCAAGGACGGGGCAATGCATTCACTGCCGGAAAAAAATATTAAAACTATTATTGTTCCACATTCAATACACATACAGGGGTTGGACTGCGAAACTGAAACACCGGCTCTTCTGGCGGAACAAGGCGAATGTATGAGCTAGCTGGTTGCCAACTTTTTGCCAACTTTTTACATCATGCATTTGATAGGAAAGACAAAGTGTTGCCTGGAATTAGACGAGCACAAGCATGGCTGCACGTGAAATGGTAGAACCTAATGGAAGACATCGCAGTTGAAAAGAGGACAGATTGGCGGTGTGTATCTTGCTGCTGCATCCGTGACCAAAACGGCAAGTCTGCAGTGTAGCGAGAATCATGTTGACATATCGCAAGGAGGGCTGAAGCACACCGAATAGGAGCAACTGCCGTGACGAGGGGAAGCTGTTTGGGAGGGGAGTCCGAATACGAGATTGTATCCAGGAAACAAAGCCACAGCTGCCCAAGTCACTGCAGTATTCAATACGCACGTCCACTTGCCTGTTTCTAACAAAACTGTTTGTTGCAAGCTTCACAGGGTGAATATTCATGGCCAGGCTGCTATTGCCAAATCTTTGGTAGCCAGTGCCAATGCCAAGCATCAGGTTTGGTAGTGCCAGTAGTACATATCTTGTAGGACTTTGGATGATGTTAAATGTGTAATATAACCCAACGAGTTCACCTTCACTGTCATCCCCAAATCCGAGGGTGGAGAAGCCCTTCACAAGCTTACGAACCGGACTGTATCGTGTCCAAAGTCAAAGTGTATCAATGATGGTTTGGGTCACAATATCCTGGGATTTTCTAGGGCCACTGATTGTTGTCGATGAGCACATCACTGCCAAGGACTTGGGTCATTTTGGAGGACAAGGTTCACCCAGTAATTCTAACCTTGCACCAAGAAAGCATAGGAGCATGATAATGCACACACGGCAAGAAGGGTGACAATGGTTTGACGAATATGGAAGCGAAGTACATGGCCTGTGCAGTCACCTAATCTTAACATTACTGAGCCAACCTGGGGTCTCCTAGAGGAATGAGTGAGGAATCGTTTTTCCCCACCAGCAACCAATAGAGAGCTTGCCACTAATCTGAAAGAATAGCTCCAAATCCCCACTGTACATAACTTGTATTTATCCTTGCTGCAGTGCATTGATGTTGTACCGCCACCAAAGGAGGATCACGAAATGAGCTGGTAGTGGCAACCTTCTCTCCTTCACAAGATTAAGTCACTGACATGTGGTATCACAGTGCATAAATTTTTAATTCCTTTTATTGTGCTGGGAGTTTCAGTGAAGACTTAAAAATCCATAAAAAATGGGGTGGTTGAAAAAAAAAAAAAAGACTACAAGAACAAGCTGATAGCCATGGCGGACGTCAAACATTGCAAAACAAAACATGCTAATTAGCTGAATGATGAACTAAAATTTACTAATCAACTTTTTAATTGGTGAAGATGAACATATGGTTTCAATTAGACATCTGCTAAGCATTGTCAAAAACCACTAAACCAATGCGGAGGGCAAGTTCGTCTGCTTCTTGTGCAGGGGGTAGTGGCGACGTCAGAATGCCGAGCCCTGATTGGCTGATCGCGACCCCCTATCTGAGCGTCGTCTGCTCCTTTGCAACGTCGTCATCTCACAACGTCGTCTGCGTCTGTCTTACCTTTCCTGCGACTTTTGGAAGTGCAGAGGCCAGATTCATGAAACAATCTTATGCCAAAAATGTGCGTGAGACAAAACTTAAGAACAAATTCGTATTCACGAAACAAAATTTTCGTAAGTTTTGGCAGGTTATGACGAAATCCTACGACAGCTCCGAAGCTGTCTTACGCACTTCTTACGATCAAATCAGCATGGCCGACAGCGTCGTGGTCGCAACGACCCACAGACGTTTATTTTTCTATGTGCGCTTCTCACGCGTCCCGACTTCAAGCAGCAAGAAAAAAGTAAAACGCACTTGAAATAGGCCACGACGAACAAGAACGCTGGATCCACAAACACCCGGGAAAAGCTCCAACGGCCACGATTCCACCGAACGCGACAATGTGAGCACGGCAGTTAGGCCTAGCAGGCACTCCGCGACTTGGCGACCGTCTGCCCACGACCGGCTGGCGTGCTGAAAGGAATATGCCCGCACAACCCTTGTAAACCCTTCCCGTACTATACTTTGATCGCTGACCTCAATTTTAGATTAAGAGGTCAATTTCTTCCCCTTGTTATCTCCTTGTTTCCCGAGGCAACGGTGACTCTCGCCGGTGAAAAAGCGGTGAATCTCCGACAGACGCAGGAAAGGTAAAACAGCCATCGCTCGGCGTTCTGACGTCACCGCTACTTCCTTTCTCATGCGCAGAAGACGAAAATGAGCCCACTTGTGAGGCGTATTCATTTGAGAAAGATATAAGGCACATGCTGCATTTTACAGCGTTCCAAAAAACACTAGTAAATTTGAACTCATTTCTTGGTTTCGGTTTCCTATCGGAGCGCATCTTTGCACCAGCGGTCCTGCCCCACTGTGTCCGAGGCACGCAATGCACGTATACCATACTTTCTTCCATCCTAGGAGGGAGGAGAGGCGGTTGCTTCGTGTCTTGGCCACGTGGGGGCAGGACCGCTGGCACAAAGATGCTCCCCAATGCAGAGCGCAACTTCGTCTGCTTCTTGCCCAAGGGTTGCGATGGTGTCGGAGTGCCGAGCTCTTATTGGCTGATTTAAAGAAATAGTGGGTAGACCTCAAGGCATTGATGTCTATCCACTATTCTTTCAATCAAAGCCAATTGGAGCTCGGCGTCATTCTGATGTCACCACAACTCCTGCGCAAAAAGCAGACGACTTCTTCTCCGCATAGGAAACCAAAACGGGTCCAAATTGAGCGTTTTTTAAAAAATATGGCTGGGCTTTAATCACGTGTGCCCTCTTCCCCACAAGTAATTCAAATAGCACAACCAGATTTGATTAGAATGACTCGCGAGTATTCAGATTTAATTAGTTTATTCTGTCAATGTGTGTCAATGAAACGTCTTGCTCGACTGTGAAAGTATCCTTCTATGCCGCAACAGTGGGCAGTGCAACAAGCATGTTGCTTGCTTGCCAGTTTCCTTCAACCCCATGGCCAGTCTAAACGTGCCTCATGCTACTCAACAACTGATGGCAACATTTTCAAATGATTTTTTGGTATTTTCAGCTACAGCAATAAGCTCCTATTGTATGTTGGTGGGTGTTGAAATTTCCTGCCAGCAGAGACCTACATCGGGTAAATGGAACATTATTTTCTTTTTCATATCCGGCACGCTTATTGAGTGCTCCATTTCAAACAATGGACTACTTGGTAGCCAGTGGGTTTATTCAATTTACTTGCACCTTCTGTACACTGTCATATTCAATTTACGAGTGCAGCCTATCTGAAAACAGAGCCTGCACTTTTGTGCACATGTGCAAGCTGGTGCAGGTAAATCAATTGAGCCTATTGTAAGCAACTGTTTCAGTGCATCCTTCCTGCTTTTACTGATTTATGAGATGTCTTCAACATATTACATAAACCTAGCATTTGATTTTAATTTTAAGATTTTCTTTTAGAAAAGAGAGTGGCCGGTACATGGATACAGTCTTCGCTGCATGTGTATCAGGCTTGGCGGATATTAGATGAGAGGATAATGAACATGATCAGTAGACTGATGAACTAAAATTTGTTAATTAACTTGCAAAGTAATCATTTCATGGGTCACATTGCAATTGTAGTATTGACTGTGATTGCAATTAGAGGAAGACTGAATTTAAATATTTTGCAAAAATGCAACGGGCTTAAAGATATTCACTGATCAATTTTCACATTTTTGTCAACCAATTCTGAAGCTTGATGCAAAAAAGCGCCGCAAGCCCTTTCCGGAATTATGCGTAGAAGGGCGACATACTCGTTCCCAGCACCTCGCCACTATCTCTACACTGTGCCATCGGCACATTCGAAAGAGGTAGTGGCGAGAAAGTGAAAATGTAATTGAAGCGCCTTGTTTCTCATCTGTCCGTCATTGTGGGCAGGACTTCCGGCGTTTTGTCTGCATCCAGTGTTAGAAGCGAGTGACGAAACCGCGTAAACTGACCGATGAATATATCAAAACCCTTTTCCTTTTTACAAACTGTTTTGCCCGCTTTAGTCCGATAATGACTGCCAATAAAGAGAAATTGAAGCGGTTCTGTATTCAAGAAAAAACGCTTAAATCGTTTTCATTTGGCCTCCAGGATCACGAATATCAAAATTATATTTCAAATTGATGTGCCAATAGCCATAACAGCACCTTCAAAATAGCGCTGAAGCGCCTCCTTCCTGGTGCGTTCGGTGGGAGGAGGGAATCGTGATGTATTATGCGAAAATCTCAGCCTTCCCGCACCCGAGCAGTCAAAAGCGGTGCATGTGTTCCTTCACAATCGGCACTCGCAAGGCAGTTGAAACCTCCAGGAATGACGTTGCACTTAGCGGCTGGTTTTTCAGTTTTTCTCACGTCTAGTGATACGTTCAGGTCAAATGCTGGAGATATTCAAATTCACAGGACAAAGAATTCAGCTCCAACTCATTTTTTTTCAGGAACCTCTTCAGCTTCTCTTTAAAGCTACAATTGCAGCATGACTTATCGGGCCATTAATTAAAAAAAAAAAACATAAAAACATCTGATCATGGCCCAACTCTGTAGCTCCGGCGAACTGGCCAATGGGCGAATTCAATATAAACACAATACCAGGAACCACAATGGGCAACATATGCTACATATATAAGCACCTTTAATCCTTACAAAGGCCATATTACGCCGAATTTTCCGATCTCTATACATATATATATATTTCTTTTTACCAAACCTCGCCACATTTTGGGGACAAAATTCAGCAAGCAGGCTCCAGCTGCGAAACGTTCAGTTCAGAGGTCTGGCCCACTCCCAGTTTCTATAAATATCACTTGGAATAAACCGTAGCAAAATTGTGCACCAGTCGGGATAGTACCACGCACGTCGAGATAAATAAGTGGAGTATATAAACATATTCGTCCAGTATCAAAGTGGCGCAGCCCCTCCTTGGCTCGTCTGCAGCGAGAGCAGGCACTGGTCGGCCTTGGAGGCTTCTATTTGATCGGGGCTCCCTTGAGCGAAGGACAGGTGACCGGCTGTCCGCCGACGACAAAGGGACAGCCTCTCCACTCTGCCACCAGGGAGGCAGACGTCTTCAGGTCCACCTGGAGCTTCTCCCACACCTTCTTCTTGGGATTCAGCTGGGCATCCGGATCGCCACCCTCGTACCCTTCCACAAAGACACGGTCTCCGGCCTTGCTGCCGCTGCGCACCGGGGAGAGCAAACAAAGGACAAATCATGCACCCCTCGCTTCCACTGTGTGGCTGACCCCTGTGAGGGGCCAACTTAAGCAAAATCTTTTAACAGGGTCCAAATCCGTAAAGCTGCCTCACACACTCGCAACTGCTTAGGACTGTGTGCCTTGAAACTTCTTGGATGGATGGATGAATGAATGAATCCGGCTGAGCCCTTTGGATCGGGCGGTAGCTTACGCCACCTAGCCATTTTGTTTTACCATTTAAGCTAAGAATATTTAAACGGACACACTGGCACCATCTATCAGGGCAGCCATACACTTGGCACCCCCATACATTTTTTTTCCTCATCATTCTTTTTTGCTAGAAAAGAGTCTGTCAATGTTATGGACAACCATTTCTCATAGTACATTTGATCTTGCAAGTACCACAAAACTTTTGCTCTACTGAAATGTATTTCCAGGGTTGGACAGCGCCAGCGTGCCAGTGTGTTTTTCTAGTTGCAAGAGATATTAAGGCACACAGTGCTAAGCAGTTGCAAGTGTGTTAACGGGCCTTTGCTCTCTTTCCAAATGTTTGCAGAAGAGCAAAAAAAATCCTTTCGTACGAACCGGCACAACACTATGCCTGGCGAGGGCTGTTGCCATCCCGCGGGGAGGAAATAGCCCTATCCACAAAGATGCCATAAATGGCGGAAGACACTCTCCTCTGGACTTGCTGGTTCTAGCTGTGGCTGCGCCCAACCTCGTGTAACCTGCTTCCACATTAAAGGGGCAGTGCAACAATTTTCGGACTTTGGCCAATTAACTGCGGAAATTAATTTGTGTTACCTATAAAACGAGGAACAGAAAACCATGTTTTCCTGAGTGCACTAAATTTTATTAAAAACAAAAATTAAACAAGTTTTAGGTCAAGGTGCCCCTCAACTCTCGTGCTGTCTTTCGAGTGACGTCTCTGGGGGACCACCTGGTTTCCCGTTGGGTTCTCTCTTGGGAAACCCCAGTCGCTCCCGCTGCGACTGTAGATTTTCAAGGATTATCCTATTGTCGAAGGTTGTGGCAAGCAATCGACACAAAAGACTGTTCGCCACGAGGCTGCCAGCAAGTATAGCAGTGGAGGGGGAAAGGTTTTGTTGAATTCTGAATAATTTGGAAAATGGTAGAATTCAATTTCCGAATTGGGGGAAAAATAAGGTTTAACCAGATTTTCAAGAAGCATGTTTGGAGTGTAAATATTGGGAAATATTGGGTTTTACCCGCAAATACAGAACCCTATATATGTGTAATGTGTACCTGCTGCTTTGGTTCACAGCAATGAGGGGTTGCTTTGACAAGTGTCTTCAGTTCCTCATATTCTATGTGCCTCATCTGAAACCTATTGCCATCAACTCTGTCCTCTTAATTTAATCACATTAATAATAATAATAGTAATTTATTCACTATACACATGGTGGGGGCTGGGGAAAAAAAAAAGCTGTCCAAACAGCTTGACTGGTCCTCAGCAACCTTGCCAAACTAAACTGCTCTGGATGCCACTCTGGGCAGGCTGAGACTCGGACCCACGTTGACTGTGGTCCCGTCGCAGGCCACAACTGAGGAGAGTCTTTTGGTGGCCAGAGTGGGGTGCCCAAAAAGCGTAGTAACCCACCGCCCGTGTCAGTCTGTCGGGGCACCGGCAGTACATTGGCTAGTTTGAAATGCTGTAAAACAAACAAACAAAAACTTCCAGCCTTTCCACTCTGGTGAAGTAGGAAGAGCAGCAGAGTTGTAGCTTCTGTTCTCGGCGGTGGCTTTTCAGGCGAGCAATCTGCTCTTTTTTGGCAAGGGAATCTAAAGAGCTCGACACAGTGGAACTTTAGGCGATAGTGGCTTCGCGGCGGTTATGGAACCGTTCGTGCTGCTGCGCACATCGCCGCTCGTTCCACTCTTGCTCTTCTTCCTCCGAAGAAAGGTTGCTGCCATTTATGAGCGACGGTGGCAACCAGTTGTCTGGTTGTCGCTGTCGCTCATAGATGGCGGTAGCTGTCCAGAGTTTGGTATCATCATTTCTTTGCTGGTGGACACAATCCTGGGGAAACTAGCCCTTAACAGCTCCGCTGTAAAATGGGCCAAATGACCACACAAAAAAAAAGTTAACAAGAGCTGCAGGTGAACTACCAACTTGGGGTGCTTGGAAGGATCGAAGGCCATGAGATAAAAAAGCTTACCTGGAAGGCAGACCCCTCACAGACACAATTCCGGGACTAATGCACCTCCTCATCTAACATAGAATATCACTAAATTTAGCCCATATGTGGTTGCACTTGAAGTAGGGAAGTCTCTTCCCGAAACATGTGTAATAAAGCCTCTTCTGCTGTTCAAACATTTTTGTATGTTTACAACTTCTTTGGTGAAGACTTGTTTATTAATACAGTTAACCTATATGTGGTGTTAGATGTACAGTGTGTCGTCCCCCAAAAATGTGCAGCGTTTTTTTTGCTGCAAAAACAACCTACGCATCGCTGAACGCTCTCCACCCAAACGTAGTGCTAGTGGTTCAGAACAGATCCCAAAGTTTCAGAACTAACCATTATTTAAAAGTTATAAGTTCTTTTCTGAAACTTTCAATGGAAAAATGGCGCCCGTTCCCAGTAGATGACGCCATTCGTCCCCACATATTCGTGGGCTCCGCCGGCCACCACTCTCCCATTGAAGATTTCCAAAAATCGCTTGTGAGTTTTGAATAAGGAAACACTTAGTTCCAAAACTTTGGCATCTGGTCGGGACCGCCAGCATCAAGTTTAGGCAAAGACTGACCATTCGGCGATGTATGGTTTATTTTTGCGGTGAAAACAAGGATGTAATTTTTTGTTCGGGGGACACCCAGTACTTCATATTTTGGGCAAGACTTTCTCTATGGAACTATTTTCAATCGCCATCTTTTCTGCTATTTTGAGGTACTCTCAGAGGTCACAGCCCTTCAAGTGAGCAGACACTGCGCCAAGTTTGCTAACCCCTGCATCATTTCTGTCATGTCTTGCATATTTTAGAATTGTGCCGTAATTACTTGGGACTCTTACCTGGGAGGCTTGAGCAGTTCAACCTGGTCGTCCCGAGACGCGCAGAGTACCATCGCCTGCGACTCGACACCCCGCATCTTTGCGGGCTTGAGGTTGCAGAGCAAGACTACCATCTGGTTGAGTAGCGCTTCTCGGGGCAGCCGCTGGCGCAGACCGCTCACCACGGTGCGCAGTCCCACGGGCTCGGCCAAGTCGATGCGGGAGACGTAGAGCGCGTCCGCGTCCGGGTGATCGTCCACCTGAACAACGCGGCCAACCCTCAGGTCGAGCCGCCGTGGAGAGAGCTCTTCGACGACGGCCACTTTGCCCGCGGGCGGGTAGGCCGCGGCGGCCAGCTTCTGCAGCGCCGGGTCTTGGAACACCTCGCGGATCGGGTCAAGCAACCGGTTCAGCTGCACCTCCACCATGGCCTTGAGGTCTCCCGGATGCAACTTGAGGTTTCGGAAGTCCTCCTCGAGCTGGTCGTACGTTTCGTAGACCGTGTTGCCGCCGTGGGCTTCGTCCCTCTCGATGACCAGGGTGCCAGTCAAGGGCACCAGCACGTGCTTGACGAAGGCAAGCACCCCGTTGTCTTCGAGGTTGCCCGGCTCGCAGAAGGCCTTCTTGAGCTTCTTCTTCACCGCCGCGGCCGTGTCGAGCAGGTCGATCTTGGAGTCTTCCTCGGACGAGCTCATCTTGCCGCCAGACAGCCCAGGAACCATAGGGTTCATCAGGTGGATGCGCTTCTCATAGCCCAGCTGCGGCAGGTACTTTTCGGAGAACGTGAAGATCTTCCGCTGGTCGACGCCGCCGAACTGGGCGTCTACGTGAAGGTATTCTTCGTCCAAGGCTTGGAGGCACGGGTAGAGCATGCTGCTGAGGAGCGGGTGATCGACTTGCTTGACCACCTCGGCACCGGCCTTCTTGGCGTCGTGCTCGGTGACCATCGATACGAGTCGGTACACGTCTAGAGAGAACTCACGGCCCAGCTGATAGCTGGATCCTTTTACGAAGCGGAGTTTCTCCAACGGCACGCCGATGGACGTGAGCATGGCTTTGATGACGTGCTCGTAGTATTGTACTCGCAACTCCAGCAGGTCCCAAGGCGCCTTCATGTTATCCAAGTACGCGTGCAAGTCAGCAAACAAAATCGTTACCTCGCATCCAGCCTTCAGAAAATCTGCGATCTTGGACATGGGGACGAAGTAGGCGACATGTGGTTTTCCGGTGGTGGCCGTCCCCCAGTAGATCTTGAGGTCTCGCTCCTTCATGATCTCATTCATTCGGGCATCACCAAGCACTTCTTGCAGGTTCCTAGAAACCAAGTTTACCTTGGCTTCAAGATCCAGCTCACTGCCGTTCGGTCTGTCGAGGTTTTCTGTCATTGTCAAATACAGCACGGTGATGTCGGAAATGATGAACGCTGCAGTTCTCACACGACGGACATACGGCGACTTGACACGTGTGTTCACCTGACGCTGACGCTGGCGGCGCTCTGCTTGTCCGCTTGGCGCTTCGCCAGCTTCGCTCCACTCGTAGTCGATGCGTAGAAGTGACGGAAATAGCGGAAATAGTCCGACTGGTGCGCCCACTGTGGGTGCGCCTAGAGCACTATATAGCTCCTACGGAGCAGAGTAGCGCAATCCTTTGAACCCCGTGTTTTGCCGACAACATGGCCGACAGAGCGGCTCGGCGCGAGTCACGTGGTACTCAGGGTTCCAGGAGGCGGCCCGCCCTATGGGAGAATACATGGAGATCGACATAACACGGCTGATTAAAAAATGAACGGCGAGTTCACACTTTTCAAAACTAGTCTGTCGTGAAGTTAGTAAAGCGCTAAACACTTTATCAAAGTTTTAATAATATCGGATGCGTGTGCAAATTTTGAGAAGGCAATTTCCAAGGCAATGGCGTTTGAAGCAGACGATTTTTGCTCGCAGCGGAGATGGGCTTTTCGAGTTGGCCGGAGCGGGTCACGTGAATGGTGTGACGTCGCCGTGTCGTCTGCTGCATGATGCCGCTCAAGCAATTTTTAAAAAAAAGTTACGTCCTTGTATGGCACAAAACTTATCGCATATTATTCTAAAATGTTTCATTATTATGTCAAAAATGATTTCCATTCCGCACATCCCCACAAAACTGAAGAAAGAACGATTTTCTCACGTTCTCCATGCATTTCTGACCGCAGTTGGAACCTCCGGGCGTTCGCCGCTAGTCGCCGAGAGACGGCGTTCTAGATTGCGCTACTCTAAGGTCCCTCTATACTGGAAAGGTAGCGCCATCTCTCCTCCTCACCCTTTACGTTTCTCTCTTTCTCTCCTTTTGGCGCCGCGCGCGCCGCCTAGGGGGTACCAAGAAGGAGAACTAGCAGACGACGGCCGTGTCCTCTCTGCGCATTCAGAGCGCACAATCTTTCGCGTTGCGTATTTGAAAGTGCAGGTTTCTGATGCATTCTTACATTGCATAGTGCCAAGCAAGTGTTAAACACCAAGAAAGAATGAGTTAAACGTGACGGCAACGTTTTCAACCTTCGGATAAAGCTCACAGAACTGAGTACATAGAAAATAGAACACAGCTTTATTTCCATGAGTAACAATGCAACGATATGGTTCTCACGATTGTTGTAAGCACCGTCATTGTCAGTGATTAAATACGTAAGAATGCCTTCATAATATTCGGCCCCACGTAATCGCGAAAATTTCTAGATCTTGCAGTCTTCCACGAGCTTAACGACTACAAGCGCGAATTGCGATTGCTGCTGCCTCCGCGCTAAAAAGAGCTTGAAACGCTATAGCAATCATACCGTAGATAAACATGCATGAGCTACCAAGGACGCCGGACTATTGCGATCATTACTGTCGATCTGGTTTCGACCGGGGCCTTACGAAATTCGGGTGACTGCATGTATAGCAGGGCTAGTTTGTCACTCGTCGCTCTTCATATTCGTTTCCCTTTTTTTTTTTTTTGAGGGGGGTTGGGGGGAGGGGGGGGAGGGGGGTACGGTTGACATTGATGCAGTGCTACTGTATTCCGATCTGTAAAGCCCTTCTGTACTTACGAATCGGCGGTGTCGGCTGGCCATACTACTGCAATACCGTTGGAAACTAGTGTTCCTTCGATTGTACCGTAACTTCAAGCACTTTTTTAAGTTTAATGAATTTTACAGTTATTTGCCAGAAATAAACATAATCTGCACAAGCTACGTAAAAAAAAAAGATCGTGGCAGATTATTCATATGATGTATTACATAGCATCACAGTTTACAAGTTTTGCCTCCTTTATATTTACTAAAAGTAAAAATATCCAACTTTGGTTTTGGTCATTACCAGAATGGGGAAAAAAATTGCAGAGAAAAGGCAACTGACTCGAGATTAAAATATGTGGCATATATTTATTTTCAAATTACCACAGACTACCATAGCCAAGACAGCAGTGAATGGAAGCACTTATACACATGCTCAGATATACTTTTTACAACAAAGACAATATATGAAAAATTATTAGAAGGAGTCACTACACAAATCTAACAGGCAAAACATAAAATTATAAAGAAGGTCTCACACTAGCCAGTTTTAACAACAAAGACAGTACACAGAAGTATTATTACAAAAAACCCTCATCGGAAATTTATGTATACAACACTAATATATACGGCAACTCATTACAAAAATGTGAACCCATTTGGCTTACCCGAAAACGCCGCTTGGCGGCGTCCGACTATTCGCTAAAGTGTCATTCGGTAAAACGTGGACGTTCGCTAAAACGTCATTCGATCAAGTGAGTGCCTCCCGTCCTTCCCCGGCCGTCCGACAACGTAATCCGTGGCGAAATGCGAAACGGACGTCCAGCTACAAAAAGAAACGAAAAGCTACACAACCAACGACAACAGCAAAAGTGGCCCGAACGTCTAAGCAAGTCCGGATCTGTCCGACGCAACGCGAGTCCGGCGTAGCTTGCGGCGCAGCTGGCGACGGGACACACGAGACACGGGAGAATTTGCTGGCTGGATCCTTCATGGCTGCCAAAGGGGCGGAGCGCTAGGAGAAGGTCACGTGCCACACACCGGCCTACCGCTGAGCTCGGCGGCGTGATCAAAGGTTGTCGCTACTTTTCCAGTATAGAGGGAGAAGGAGCTATATAGTGCTCTAGGTGCGCCTACCGCGTCCTCAATCGTGGCCCCACGATTTTCTCAGAATGACGTCACAGCGCCTAACCTGGGCACTCAGCAGCGCTTCCGTGGCCGGAAGCGCTCATTGCTCTATCGATATATTGAAAAACTAAAATATAGAGCAAAACCTATGCTGATAAAATGAAGCCCTAATGTTTCAATTATAAATTTTGACGCCGTTGAGCAAGGTTCAGCGGCTTCCTAGCCATTTGTGAAGATGAAGCCGCTCAAAATCCAATATGACTAGGGGTGTCGCGAACTTTTGTCGAAGCGGATTTTTAGGTCGAACTTTCGGGGTTCGACTGGGTCGAACCGGTTCGACAAACCTTCGACCTTTTCACCAAACTCGACTGGTTCGACCGGGTTCGACTTTGCGGACAGTGTGGCCAGACCTTGATACACGCATGTCTAGGTTTGGAGAATTTATTTGTATGCAAAGGGTTATTTTATTTTATTAACAGTTGCAATTAAATTAAACCAATTCTAATCCCTGAAGACGTTACTAAGTTAATTTTTTTTGTACTGTATTAACTGAAATAACCAATCAGCGGTGCCCTTAATTCATCCCTTAGCCATTACCATCCAATCCGAAGCCAACTGGCCAGCCTGTCGCGCATGCGCACACGAGTCGAACCTGAATACAAGGTTCGTCGAAATTTCCACAAAAAGGTCGAAAAAGTCCAACCTGGTCGAACTCGAACCTCGGCCGGTTCGCGACACCCCTAAATATGACAATATTGGATTTTGACAATATTCAATAAAAGTATTTTGTTCATTTTGTTGCTTTTGCTTCCCCCCCCCCCCCCCCCCCCCCTCTAGTTTGGGTGTTTGCACACCAACTGGTATGGGCCTTCTGCCTTTCTGCTGTATTCCCGACTCTCCTGAGCCAAATAAATGAAATGAAATGACTCAGGCCAACGGAGGCATTGCTCCGGCCCTCGCCGACGGCGAGGGCAGCGACGGCCTGAGTCATGTTGGGTGCAGAAGTAGCTACTGTCCCCCTACAAGATTATAAAAGATTAACCCGCCACTTAAAATTCGTACAAAAGCAGCCGCTTCGGTGGCTGGAACGACTAGGCCATCCTCTCGACGCCAGCCTCGCCGTAGCTTTGCTCGTCCCGAGACGACCTGCGTCACGATTGCGTCGGATGTCATGTGCTCTAAGCTGGGCCTTCTCCGAGCGCTTGCCAGAGTGGGCCGTTTATAACAAAAAATACAGCCACCAGGCTCAAAATACAAATGTGCGATTGTCATTTACGGATATTGTGGATCATATTCAATCTATTTTTGAACACGACGGATATATTTCAAATTTCGTTGAAGTATCCCTTTAAAGCGACACTACAATGAAATTATGGCGCTTATTTTTTGGTCTATATGTGTTCAAAGGAGCAGTATCAAATCGAACACATCAATATATTGTTAAAAAAGTCACGAAAATGAATTTTAGAACGAATTAAACGATTAGCAAAGAGCACCTTGTGGATGTCGCTAACGCCTCGTTTGTAATGCCCGTCTAGGAACTTTGAGAGGTAGTGACGGTAACTGTCTCGCCTCCGGCCACGACGAGAGAAGAGGGGAAGATGGAACTCCCCTCTTCCTGAGAATCCTTTTTGTGCGGCCCAGAAGTCGCTATTGTCCCTCTACAAGATTATAGAAGATTAACCAGTCACTCAAAATTCGTTCAAAAGCAGCCGCTTCGATGGCGGGAACGACTAGGCCATCCTCTCGATGTCAGCCTCGCCATAGCTTTGCTCGTCCAGAGACCAAATACGTCACGATTGCGTTGAATGTCACGTGCCCTCCGCTGGCTGTTCTCCGAGCGCTTGCCAGAATAAGCCGTTCATAACGGAAAATACAGCCACCAGGCTCAAAATACAAATGTGCGATTGTCATTTACGGATATTGTGGATCAAATTCAACCTATTTTTGAACACGACGGGAATATTTCATATTTCATTGAAGTGTCCCTTTAACAGCTCCTCTGTAAAAGTCGCGAAAAGTAATTTTAAAATGAATTAAACGATTAGCAAAGAGCACCCGATGGGTGTCGCTAACGTCTCATTTGTAATGACTGTCTAGGAACCTTGGCAGATAGTGACGACGTTTGTCTCGCCTCCGACCACGATGAGAGAAGAGGGGAAGAAGGAACTCCCCTCTTCCTGAGAATCCCTTTTGTGTGTCCCAGAAGTCGCTATTGTCCCTCTACAAGATTAAAGAATATTTGCACCACACTTATATTCTCTTTTAAGTGTATAATTGGGGAAAAATGCAGTCCGACATTCTTTGTCAGTCGGCATCGCCACAAGAACTTAGCAGTCCATTGTCATTCCACAAATAAGTTGTGTAAATAACCGACATTAAAAACTCTAGGCAAAAGCCACGATCCCTAAAAGTTGGGCCTATGAAACAACTTGCATTCCCCCCCGAAAATTATTTTTCAAGTTATAATAAGAATCATTTCATAAAATCGGTAGATATCGCAGCAATAGGAATAGTCTTAAGGGGGGACATGGCCTGGGAGGGTCAACTTTTGAACCAATGCCTCAAATTGATTCAAACTTTCAGGGTGAATTGAACCCCATTAGGATTGATGACACCTAAAGTTGCAGTCTTATAGGCTAATTCTACAACATACTATGCTTAATAAGCTCCAGAAAAAAGTTACTTTATTAGGAAATGTATTAAAGAAAAATAATAATTGCAATCCACAAAATGTTTGGTCTGATGTGAAGTAGAATACCCATAGTGCAAGTTAAGGTAAAAATTAATTGTAAAAAATGCAATTCTAGAGAAAAACAATCACACCCAAAAAGAGCAAACGATTTTAACAAATTTCTGCGTTCTAAAATATTCAATTTTCGTCATGAAGAATTTAGCTTTTTCAGAATATGAGTACGTTAACTTGTTCCTCAGAAAATTTCAGTCCAGGACACCACTGAATGAAATCTTTACACTTTCAAAATGTCCGATGATACATTTCCTCATACCACATTTCCTGCCAAAAAATGAAACTGAGAAAAATGCATTTGAAGTTTTAACTTTAGGCTTCTTTCTTTTCTGTGAGTCCGAGGTAGGCAAAATTCACCCGACGCATTGTTAGAACCTTCCTCTTTGAGACTTCCCTGTTCCCCTGGCAATAGCTACCAGTTTCTGTTGTTTGTAGGCACGCTAACTTTTGTAGCAGGCATTCTCTGACAGATAAACTGGCAAGAACTAAGAGGCAAATCACACTGAGAAAGAGCAGCAAAGCAGGAATAGGATCTGAAGTGGAAAATACTGTAAAGAGGCGTTACTGTAGATGACACAATATCACGTCACCGGGAAGGAGCAATCGTAAACTTTGTTTCAGGTCTCAACCAATAAGATTGCTCATACCAGATTTTCAGAATTTTTTCTATTTGGATGTATTGGGTTCTCCTGGCCATTGATACTTGTAAACTTGGAAAGCTCCTTCGGGCTAAATCTAGAGTAAATGGCACTTCCAATGAGGGTGAGATGTTCTGGCTAGGTTAAACGAGTATGAAGCAGCGGTAAATAAAAAACGCAAAAAACTTGCTCCCTGCTGACTCTGAGGGCTGCCAACATGCCGAAAATATTTTATTCTGAGATAAATCCTGCATTTTTATAAATGAAAGTTTCTGAAACCATTCTTTGGAAGTTAATAAGCATAAACATATCATTTTTGAAAAAAAGTTTTTTTTCTGAAAATTTTGAATTCCGAGGCCATGTCCCCCCTTAATGAGGCTGCCCATTCCTTATGTTAATTAAAGCGAGTGACTAAGAGGCATCCTACCAGAAGGATACGCCTCCGACTGACTCTCGACATTCTGGTTCCAGTACTTTAAAGTTTTCTATTTTTACAAAAGTCTTGCATGTGGCAAGCTACAAGTTTTCAGAAAATGTTGCTGCTAATTATGCTAGCTTACAAGTGGCCCTCTGGGGAACTCCCCAGTCAGAGCAAGGCACTAGGGGCTGAACAGGGAATCGACCAGGAGTTGCCCAGAGCCCAGTCGTCCGATGCAAGCTACCGGCAACGCTTGCCCGAGATGTCGACCAGTGCGTATGGCAATATATTCACCTCGCCAAAGTGCTGCTTCATATGTCCATTCTCTTTCCGGTTGCTTGGATACTATATTCTCGATTCGCTTAGATACCTCCTGTAGTTGTTTATCATTTAAGTTATTCCTACCTTCTTGTTTTTGATTTTGTATTTCTGGTTTTACTGTGCCAAATCTGATCTTGATTCTCTTATGGTCGCTCCCCAGACTTTTTGTGCCTTCCTCATCTATTTCCATGCCTCCTATAATCTGTTGCATATCCTACGCGACATTTAACAGTAGTCAATAGTCGAGTGAGAGTTCTTTCTTTCCCATGTTATTTTTCCATCACATTTTACCTGAACATTAACCAATACCAGATCAAGAGCTTCGCAGAACTCCTCTAACATCCTCCCTGTTGTATCTGTATGTCCATCAAAGTCTTCCAAATGTGCATTCATGTCCCCCAAGATAATTATTTCCTTGTTAGTGCCGATTTCCCTAATGTCTCCTGATATACATGTCAAGTGTTCTGCACTTTCCTCCCCTGCATCACTCCCTGTTTTTAGATAAACAAATCCCAGGATTGTGTCCAAACCCCCAATATTGCCTTTGACCCACATATGTTCCCTGCTGCCCTCTCGTTCCCTTTCTCATTCCTGACCCTCAACTAACACCCTAATCCCCCTCCCTTGCGTTCCCCATTGGCCCGGTTGCATCCCATCCAATGATATCCCAGTATGTATGGTGGTTCTTCCATATCCCTCAGATGTGTTTCTGCTAATCCATACACTGCAAAGTTATCGCTCTCTAATTGCTCCTCAATCTCCTCCCACTTTATTCTGTTCCTGCCCCCCTGCATGTTTATGAACCCTATGTTAAGCTGTTTCTTTTTCCTAGTCCTACGAGGCTTCCTCTCACCCTCCGAAACCCTCCCCTCTGTATCTACATTTTGGCCTTCATTCACACCGGCACCCTCGGGGCTCCAGGACCCCCCAAAAAATGTACAATGTGACGTCCAATCCTATCGCCTAACGTGCTCCCAGTGGTTCCACTGTAGTGGATGCCCCATGTAAAAGGGTCGGAGTGAGCCTCGTACACCACCCTGTTTACTTCCATTACTCCGTACCCAAATCGTCGGCTCAACCCTCTTATCACCCGGTTAGCTTCCACCACCCGCTTCTCTATCGGCAAAGACTGCTCCAGACCTCTGGGATGGTGCATATTTGCACGTGCACAGTCTCGTAGACCTTCCTCAGCTTACGTAACCCCAACTATATCTGCCTGGCGAGGTTCTGGCTCCGTCCCTTTAACACATCATTTAGTCCTGCGCGTACTACAACTAGGTTCTCTCCCCTCCCTGCTTTCCCACACCTCCTCCCTCGCTTTGACCATAGCGTCTACCATGCACTTTTCTGACTGATCCACTACATTTACCCTCCCACCCCCTTTCACCCTCTCCAGCAGCCCCACCCTAACCCTTGTTATGTTTGAGTCTCCTACCACCAGTACCCTCTTAACCCCCGACTGCCTGTCTTCATCCCCTCCAGTTATCTGTGCTTTCTCTGCCTCAACTTCTGCTGCCTTCCTCGAACCCTGCTGTACTGCAGCATACAGCTGTGCAGGCTCCTTTCCTACACAAACACCGCGTCACTATTTAGCTGGCCCCCTATATCTGCCGCCCCCCCGCCGTCTTCTCTGCCACCTCCCCCTTTTTCGTATTAACTACTCCTGTCAGTTGCTGCACCATCTCCTCACTCACACTTCTTATGCTCCTCCAACTCCGCCTTCCACTCTTCCCGGCCCTTTCTAAGCTCCTCCACCTGTCGCTCAAGTTCGGCTCTCTGTTCCCGTTCTCGCCTCAGATCTCCTGCCACGCTATCTACCCTACTTTCCCATTCCCTGGTCATCTCCGCATCCGCTTCGGCCCTCTTAATCAAATCTCCCACCTGCGCCTCGAGCTGTACCCGCTTCAACTCCTGAACCGTATCCGCCCATTCCCTTCCTATTCCCCTAAAACCAAGTTCTACCTTCTCGTAACTCCGACAGGAAAAGCTGCTCTCCTCGGCTTCTGCTACAGTTTTGAACTCCGTCTCCATCATGCAGCACCAACGGTCACATTCTACATCCTTCTTTTACTTTCGGCTGCGCATCCTTCTTCCGTCGCGTATTCACCATTGTCTACCGACACACAGCGCGACCCCACGACAAATATCCCACCAAAACTCAAAAGCAAGAAAACCTGGGTACGCCTCTGCCCACACAACCAACTAGTCCGCCAAAAGTTTCAAATGTGCAGGTGGTTCGGTCTCGTGACCCTACCTAAAAAAGCCTGCTTTAACCCGACTATCCTATCGCTACTTCAAAAACTGCTTTCTTCTACCCATAAAACCACATATCACATCATGAAAAAATACACACACGCGCGCACAGGTGAAGTGTATACAGATACGCGCATATACGCACGCGTGCTGCAATCAACACGAACATTACACGTAGATACGAGCGCGCGCGCGCGTACATACACGCGCACAGACGCCTCCCATCCACACGTACACCCACAAACAAACACAACAAACAACGAAACGCGCGCGCACACACGTGCGCACTGTACGCGAACTGTGAAAGCGCACTGAAGTGAAAGCGAAAACGCCACAACTGCTCTGAATATCCGGCGCTTCGGTGAATTAGTTTTCAAACAATAAAAAAATATGATACCTCTTACTTGCTTTGTGTTCTCACTCCAGTGGACCAGAAACAACCCCAGAAACGTCAGATGAATGAACATGTCATTTGCGCATGCGTAGTAGTTGATTACCGCCGTTGCCGTTACCGCTTCAAATTTGAAACGGTTCCATCGTCCGTTGGTGGAGTTTTTGGGTCAGGCGCGGGCAGGTGCTGGGAGAACCACTTGCTTCGGTGAGTCCGTTCAAAAATTGCTTCTCTAGGCCCCTTTTTCTTTTCCCCACGATTGCCTTTGTGGAGCTTTGTGTGGACAGGCGAGTTTTAGCAGAGCCTCGGTAGGGTTGAGGTTGGTTGAGATGATCCGGATACATGCTGAGCAAGGGCTCTCATGGGGATCAACGTTACAGGATCTTTCGGCTACCGGCTTTCAACTCTAAAAAATATTTATTTTTGCTTCATTGGAAGCTGGTGAAAATACTTTTGGGACGCGGGCCTTGTAAACCGAAACGACGCGAAATAATCGATGATGGAAAAAAAAAAAAAAAAAAAAAAAAAAAAAAAAAAAAAAAAAAAAAAACCCAACATTTTTGGGTTGTCTAGTACTACAGGTTTTTCCGCTCATTTTAATCCAAGCGACGACCAATTTAATCCCGGGGTCACTCAATTTAATCCAAGTGCCATGCAATTTAATCCAAGGGCCACACAATTTAATCCCGGGGTCAGTTAATTTAATCCACAATATATATATGCACTTACTGTGTTCAGTGGTCCTGTTTCGCTTGCACATTTGGTAGCTTAGAACAATTGTTTATACAATTAGAATTTTTGGGTAATGTGATTACTTTGAGTTACTAGTCCCACTATTGACGAGGCTTAATTAATATGTTGGTTACTCTTTTTAGAGCGCAGCTCTTGGGCACCCTCTCCGGCTTGAGCGGCGTCGCCGTCGGCGTAACCACGCGGTACATGATGGGTAAATTCTCCCGCTGAATTTAGCGGAAAATTTTCCCCGCTAAATCTAACGGAAAATTTTCCCCGCTATATTTAGCAGAAAATTTTCTCCGCGAAATCTAGCGGAAAATTTTCCCAGCTAGATTTAGCGGAAAATTTGCCCCTCTAAGTCTTGCGGAAAATTTTCCCCGCTAAATCTAGCGGAAAAGTTTTCCCGCTAAATGTAGCGGAAAATTTTCCCAGCTAGATTTAGCGGAAAATTTTCCCCGCTAAGTCTAGTGTAAAATTTTCCCCGCTAAATCTTGCGTAAAAATTTCCCCGCTAAGTTTAGCGAAAATATTTCCCGCTAAGTCTAGCGGAAAATGTTCCCCGCTAAATTTAGCGGGAAATTTTCCCCGCTAAATCTAGCAAAAAATTTTCCCAGCTAGATTTAGCTGAAAATTTTCCCCGCTAAGTCTAGCGTAAAATTTTCCCCGCTAAATCTAGCGTAAAATTTTCCGCTAAATATAGCGGGGAAAATTTTCCGTTAGATTGAGCGGGGAAAATTTTCTGCTAGATTTAGCGGGGAAAATTTTCCGTTTGATTTAACGGGGAAAATTTTCCGCAAGACTTAGCGGGGCAAATTTTCCGCTAGATTTAGCGGGGAGATTTTTCTGCTAAAGTTAGCGGGGGAATTTACCCATCATGCACCGCATGGTTACGCCAACGGCGACGCCGACGCCGCTCCAGCCGGAAACGGGTGCCTAAGAGCTGCGCTCTAAAAAAAGTAACCAACATATCAATTAAGCCTCGTCAATAGTGGGACTCAAAGTAATCACATTAGTGATCAAATTATCAATTTCCCCCCAAAAATTCTAATTGTATAAACAATTGTTCTAAGTTACCAAATGTTTAAGCGAAACACGACCCCTGAACACAATAAGTGCATATATATATTGTTGATTAAGTTGACTGACCCCGGGATTAAATTGTGTTGCACTTGGATTAAATTGTATGGCGCTTGTATTAAATTGAGTGACCCCGGATTTAAATTGGTCGTCGCTTGGATTAAAATGAGCGGGAAAACCTGTAGTTCATAAACTGCCTCTCTGAGAAAGAATAAAACAAACTCGGGACGAGTTTGATTGTTTCTGTTCCCAACACGCTCTTCATTTAATGACTAACAACCTAAAAGTCAACGTTGCGGTAAACATTTTCTGCAAAGAAAATAAAAGGGCTTCATCATGCCCTGGGGTACTGCCTGCCCAGGAATGATTATAATAACATAGTGTCTAAAGTACTGTCCGACGGCACTCTTGCAGAGCGTCCAAGTGCCGTCCGACGAGTTCTCAAACAAGATTTTCGAAGGGCTGTGTCTACAATGCTGTCCGACGGCACTCCACTCGCGCCTACAAGTGCCGTCGAAAGAGAGTCGGACTACGCGTGTATCACTGGGGAGCTCGTTAACACACCCCCCCACCTGCGTTCACGCCGCTTCGCGGCAACAGTATGCGGCTGCTAATTACAAAACTATTGACCCATTTGGCCCCGTCGTACACGCCGCTTTGCGGCATCCAGCTGGCAAAACAAGCCCCGCTGTCCCTCATGCACCTTTGGAAACAAAGTCCCATATCAGTTTGTTCAGTGAAGTTTTGTCGACAACATTAATTTTTTGCCAGTGTTAATCGTAAAAAAGAAATGTCAATATCGCCAAATGCGTCAACCAAACAAAATGTTCGAGACGAAAAAACGTTTTAGCCCAAACTGAGGATAAAAACCGGGACTGTTCGCTTATGAGGCAGACATCTTACCACTAAGCTACACTACAGCTTCTAAATCTCGTTTTGAGAACTCGTTTTATACGAGACTTTCGGACGGCACTTGAACGCGTGAGTGGAGTACCGTTGGACGGCACTTGAACGCTGTGAAAGAGTGCCTTCGGACGGTACTCTAGACAGTGTGTATAATAAATTTCATATTCCCATTATGTTTTATGTTATGTACGTTCCAGGCCCAGGACTATTAAAACAAGTGAACCATATTTTGAACAAAAAAATATAAATAATAAAAAAACTACCTTGAGAACAAAAATAGGCTCAGCTTTATGAAGCTTTGCAGTTACTCTTATATATGTGTTATGTATGTACCCCAAAAAATTCACAAATTCACCTAGATATAGCTATAAAAAAAAGTTTATTTCAATGCTTGCATTAACTGAGGGCCTACGAACTCTCTAAGGAATTAAACTATGCCCTTCTGGTTGTGTTAAACGATGTGCTTCTGGTTTGAACACGGCAGTGTGCACTGAATGCAGCTGGTGCAGGAGGTGTAGACAAGGGGCAGATTTCTAGGTCAGGTGGGGGAAAGGGCGTTGAGAATTTGGCTCGGGGGTTCTGCAAAGAGATGCAGCGTCACGGACGAAGATAGTAGGCCCTTTTCAACATTGGCGGTCGGCATTGCACCAAGCAGACGAAGCACGTGATTGGATTCGGAGTCCTCGTCGAACGCTGATGCAGCGCTCGTGTCCAATACGTGCTCAGAGTATGTGAGCAAGCAATGGCGGACAAGCGTCATTTCAGCAAGGACGAGAATGCCGGTGCATGCCCCTTTTCCACAAAAACAACAGCAAAAGGCTGCCCTTGGGGCTGGGGAGAGCGGTCGCCCCCTCCGCCTTAATCTGCCCCTGTTGTAGACGTGCACTCTGGTCCGAGAAGACTTAAATGGCCGCTGTGCTCGATCCCTTTTATCGAGACCCTATAAAAGTACTCTTGCCAACCAATGTCGTCACGTTTGTTGTACGTGGACGGCAACTCGGGCAGCTTCGCAATGCCTCCGCTAGATGCCGACAGTCGCGGTGCTGTATTTTGGGTTTTTATCGGAGCCAAACACGGAACTTTGGGGCTAACAGTGTTGATAAAATAGTTTATCATGTTTTTTACAGCAACCGATCGCAGTACAAATATCGGCTCAGTTTTGCGTAAAAGCCTCAGGATTTGGTACAGTCACATTTCCAGTGGTCAAAATCGTACAACATGGCGGCAGCCAAGTGGGGGTCACCTTTGCCTGGTGAACGTGACACAGTTTATCTCTCTCTAATCCCCTTTACCTCGTTGCCCTGTGCCCTTAAAGGGGCCCTGCAATCATATTCAAGCGTCTACTTTTTTGCGGTTTCCACGTCTCTTGGGGTTCGGGCAAGCCAGCGGGCATGGAGAGAGCAACTAAGTATCAGTGTGTCATATTTTAACCGGACGACGCGGAAACCTCCTCCACCTATGGGGGCGACCTGCAGTGCCGAAAGCGTGCAAAATGTGCCGAAAGCGTGCAAAATGTGACGTCTTTGGTTCTTGGCTTACTTCTGGTCAGAGCCGCTAAAAGCTTCTTTTTAGTCGAAATACAAAATATAAGTGGCGTGAACCGTTTCAGTTATTTATAAAAGTAGTTTTTGTTCACTATTTTAGATCAGAAAAGAAACAAATGCAGTTTATAAAGTACGGAAACAAGAAATGAGCCGCCGACATACCTGCCACCAAGCGGTGGAAAAGGCAGCGCATACTAGAAAGGTGTAGTGGGATCAGGCACCAGCGAGCGGCAAGCGTAGAAAGGTCCCGGATGTACGCAGTGGAGCTGCGGTTATGTGGACTGGAGGATCCGACCGGTTTTGAGCGTTCCTGAGGCATTCGGCGAGCAGCTTTTGCTTGCAATTTGACCTTTAGGCGGTATGGCAGCGCGAAGGGACTCCCGTTCTGAACTGATCTTTACCCCGTGTTTGCTGTCGTTTGTTGCCATTGAAGTGTCATGCCGAATTAGTGTTTAATCGCGCAGCAAATGCTATGCGAGCCGCCCTGGCTGCCCGCTTCATACAGCCTAGCCAGAACATGCTTTAGTGGCGCCCTCTCGAGCCGTCGACATGGAGTGCGGCTGCCGTGACCGCTCGCTGAGCTCACTACCCCTCCTCTAGTTCACGGCCACTCAAGCAACCAAGGACGTCAGGAAGGAGGCTATTTTTTTACTGGTTTTTGTAATTTTCATTTGCCTATAACTTTTAAAATAAAGCAAAATTCGAGAAAAGAAAAGTTTTATTAAGTTACGACTTTCAGTGGGCTCAGGTTCGGTGCAAATTAGAAACCAGTAAAAAAGTCCTTGCAGGGCCCCTTTAAGGAAAAATTAATTATAATGATGGCGATGGTTTCCCGCTGTGCTCGCTTTCCCAGACCCTTGAATTTGGCATTGTTCAGTGCACCAGCAGTGCTATGGGTCAGCTTTAGAACGGGTGGCTGGAATTGAGTTTTGAAAGGTGTTCATGGTTTGTTAGCTCTAGTGCTGGAATGGACCGAGTAAAATTACAGGTACTGTTCAGATATGCGGCATTCACTGTTATCTTCTCCACAAGGTTGAAAACAAAACAAGGAGAAGTGCAAGTCTAATGAACAAAATGTTAGGGCGCAAACGAGCTGGTTTACACTGCACATGGTTGAAAAAATCCCAAGACTGCAGGTAAACGACACAACACTAAAAAGTCTATAAAAGTCTCGTTTAGAGACTCTTTAGTGTTGTGTCGTTTACCCGCAGTCTCGGGGTTTTTTCAACCATGTGCAAGTCTACTTGTTGTCTCCATCGCAAGGAAAGTAATTGTCTTTAATTGAGTAATATATTTTGTTGCCGCTTTCATTTTCAGGCACAATGTTTTACGCCCATCAAGTCCTCCACAGGCGCCATGGCAAATTGGGCCTCATCTGGTGAGTTCATTTTGGCAGAGAGCAATGCAAACACTCTGCAGAAGTGATTTCTTGCAGCACAAAAAAGCACTGTAGTTGCCCACAAAATGTTTTTTTTTTCCCCATTCTAGTTTTATATTTAAGTTTGAAGGTCTATTTTGAAATAATATCAAGATGGAGAAGAGGAAATTCACATTTTTTTGGAAAACATACCAGCTTAGCCATGCGGGAGTTCCTAAAGTCATTAACACATTGTAATTCAAGGGCTTAAAGCAAAATGGATGTTTTCCTCGAAATCTAGCTCCTACTGAGAATATTATTAATAATTTATCTTTCTAAATGGGTGCATACTATTGTTTGTTAATGTTCCCTGTTCAGTTGGGTTAGAATCAGACTTGTACCTATCTCAAATACTCTACTCAAGATACTGCATTTTAAATACTTTTTGAAGTATCATGGTACCTTGCAAATACTTTTGGTCAAGAGTATTTGATACTCTATTTTAATTACATTTCTGAGTATCTTGTACTCATTATCTAAAATACATTTTTGACATTCTGCCATTTTCCGAGTTTTTTGCTGTGAAGTTGCGTGGGCGCGGCACGAGCAAACGTGAAAATTCTTTCAAGCAATCAAATCCTTTTTCTAGCTTCGATTAGTTACGGTGACTTTGATTGAGCTCATGAAAACATAGCTTTTTTGCCGGTTGTGACTCATATTTCATTCCAAAGTTCATGCCAAGAAGGTTTTCCCCTCGTCTTCCCAAAGGCGCGTTTTGTTTCCTAGAGTTTCCCCCCAAAAATCCTCAAACAAAAGGGGTGGTTTTACGGAAGTAAACATTGCCACCGTGAGGCGCAACGCAGACCGGGAAACGACTTACGACAACAATGCAGACTTCAGTGTCAAGAAAATAACAAATAGAAGAAAGTGATAAGTACACACACACACACACACAAAAAAATTGTCTTGCTTTTTGTATATTTGACCCCGCTACGGTAAAACGTTGAGGTTTTCTTTTGTTTCTTTTCTTTTTGTCATCAGTCCGTCACCTCTTGCTCTCACGAACACTGTCCCTAAGCGATCATTGATAAGCAGAAAAGAGGACAAGAAACAAACTACGAGCTGGATGACCTCTCAAAATGCCAACAAAGCGTCCCCCAACGTCAAATGCCTTTCTGAATGCAACCTACTTGAAGAAGGTGCGACCACTGCCGTGGCTATTAGGTGTTATCCATTCACTGATATCCGTATCCCAAGTTCGTTTATAGTGAACTCCCGATTTAGGGTAATATGGGTCCGATGCGTCTAAGGTGCGCCGCAGGACGTGATATTCAGTGATGTTACTATTGGCGAAGCGCTCTGACCTGTTTGTTGCCCCCCCCCCCCCCCCCCCCCTCGGTGTTTACCCAACACAAGGCCTGTGCACATGCCCACAGGCCTTGTGGGAATGTTCATGTCATCTTCTTTAATAAAGCACGGGGCACAATGTAATGTAAAAATACTAATAGGGAGTCTTAGTAGACCATTTTTCCCCCTCTGCTAACCCTCCGCAACAAAGAAACCGCCACTGTGCCTGCGTGCCGATGGCCTTGACTGAAGAGTTTTGGGTAGCGGAGGGGGAAACACAGTCTACTAAAACTCCCTAATAATAAACAAAGTGACGTGATGTGCCAAATCTCTTCCGAAAGCAGTTGTCAGAGGATGGGAGCTTGAGGGCTTTTGTACTGAGCTGGGCACCGTACATGCTGCATTGTTCATGCAGGCTGGAGTGGTAACAAAAGAGACCTTCCTCCCCCTCACCAGAGAACACAAACTCCAGCCGAACGCTGATGCCGCGTTCGGTTATTTCAGCCGAGCGCTCAGGCATTGTATTCATTGTCCCCATCCGTGTAGTTCTAAAGGTAACCGCTTGGGGTGCTCCAATCTCATCTCTTCCCCAATAGCTAAAGCGACCTCTTTCTTGTCCCAGAAATGTTTTGTAGCATGTATCAGTGATATTGCCACGCACGTTGCCGAGAAAGCGCGTAACCAATCAATAAAGAAAAAAAAGAGCACGTGACTGAATGGGTACCGCGCTCGGCTGTCGCGCGGAGGCTCCGGGTTCGATCCTAAAGAGTGGACTCCTCTTTTATTTATTCCTTCAACTTGACGTTCTCGTAAGTTCGAGAACCTTGCCTTCTGATCAAGTTGCGAATGTTCTCCGCGCCAAACGTTTTAGGCCGAAACTTCCAGAAACTTACGCGGGTACGAAAGGTGCTCCGAGTGGCGGTCCGGAGTCAGTCTCGCCCCAGCGCTCGATCCTGCTGTTTCGCCGGCATCGACGCCTGTGACGCTAGCCTCTCTTTATTGTTTTGGGCGCAAGTTCGCCCCATTAAACTTTCAGTTTCTTCAGTTATTGGTCGCCGTATCAATTGTCATTCGTGTAAATATCCTGCTCCTTACAGTTGGACTGCATAAAAAAGCCCTGCGATACTTTTTTTCACCATTTTGTGTTGCTGCGTGCCAATAAACCATTCTGGTAAGCCAGACTTGCGCAGCTGTATAATTGTCGTTGTCGTTGACGTCGATACAAATTATGCAATGCAGAAGTATCTTCAAAAGTAATTGAATTACATTTCTAAGTATTTGTACCCTACTCAAGATACTTTACATTGAAAGTAACGAGTAGTATTTTAAATACTTTATGAAGCAGGTATTTTGTAACTTAACTTAAATACTTTTATCGAGTATTTTGTCCAACACTGGTTAGAAGTGGCAGTGGCTGCAAGTGTTATGTGGAATTCTAAATACTGGATAGCTGAGTAGGAGTGGTGGGCAGCAAAGGTCTCGCCAAGAGATTATGGGAGTTGGTGATCTCTTTTTTCAATTATTTTCAAGATATATTTCCGACTGGTTTTGACAATATGTTTGTGTTCCCTCTGTTGACTCATGAACAAGTGAATTACAGCGTGTCTCCCCCAAATATTTAGTGTTTTCTTTTTTTACCCGCAAAAATAAACTATGCTTTGCAAAACGCTCATTTCCTCCAAATATAGCGCTAGAGGTTCGAACCAGGTAGCAAAGTTTCAACAGTAACTGTTATCTGTTCAAAAGCTATAAATGCTTTTCTGAAATTTTCAACAAATAATGGGGTCTATTTCTGCTTTGTCTTCGGTAACTGGTGTCACAAAGCTCTGTCGGCCGCCATTTTCCCATTAAAAATTTCAGGAAATTACTTTATAACTTCTGAATAAGGTAACGGCTAGTGCTGAAACTTTTGCATCTGGTTTGGATCTCTAGCGCTACATTTGGACAGTGTTTTGCGAAGCATAGTTTATTTTTGCAATGAAAAACCCCTTTAAATTTTTTTTTTTGGGGGGGGGGGGGAAATACTGAATAATATCTGAGACAAACGAGCAAACACAACAAATGGACAACTACCTTAATATGTGGGTGTGGGTATGTTTATCCAGCCTGAACTTAGTCGGCCTCAACGGGCGACGTGTCTTTTAGCTGTAGATGAGAAATTTAGCCGATGCAGTACAACCGCCTGCCTGGGGCCTTTGACGTGTATTACGCACTATTGATACACGACTGCACGCTCGTAGGATGCTCATTCAGATCGAAATGGGCAGGGGTGGGCATTAAACCCAGGATCCCTGGGTTCTGCGGCGCGAGCTTTCTCTCCACGTGCTCCGAGTGGGTGTACTACCCCACTCGGCCACCGATCTTCCCTACCTTAATGTTGGTGGTTGCCTGTGCTTTTCTTCATCTCCTTTCGAAAACACATATTTCGATATTCGAACATGATAAACAAACCACATAAAGGCACCTGTCTGGGAGGTTTAATTGCACTCCATTTATTTACGTAATGACATGGTCCTTTGTAGTACCCGATTGCACTCATGGATACCCTGTAAATGAGCTTTACTAGGTAGTATCAATTGTTATTACGTGATAGTCTCTGAGGTGCTTTCCTCTGCTGGTAGTATACGAGGGATTCAGCTTGAAAACTGATAAAGGACATCTGCAACCCAACGGTAGGGCAATACGGGTAACGTCATCCTTGAAAAACAGCACTTAAAGGGACACTGACAAGGTGTTTATGCTCGCCAGGGTTTTTATTTGTACACGACATATGAGAGCCTAATTACCCAGAACACAATTTATGGCTCGAAATTCATTTTCTTTCTGCCCGAAAACCGCCAATCAAGAACTGGCCGGTTTGAGTTGCGTTCACTCTCTTCTTCGTGGTCACGTGCCGTTTTCTACGGTTTAGACCACTCATGGGCACGTTACCATAAGTGTTACAGTTAGGCCTCATTCACGCAGCCTTTCCACCCTAAAACCGTCACGGGAGCATGCCAGGCCGGGGACGCGATGGCAGGGTGTCCGAACAGGCTGCTCTAGCAAAGCGATGGCGGCCGCGACGGCAGGATTGGATTGGATCGGATTGCTTATTTATTCAACTTAAATTACAAAATAAAGAGATTATTGTGCCTGAACATTAATGTGTACACTTCTTTTTTTGTAAATTAAGGATTTGTGTCTGCTATTAGCAATTTCCGCCGAAAAGGAACATGAAAGACAACACAAGCGTTGGCTGACTGTTGGCAACCGAATGACAAAAAATCTTGCAAACTTAGCGAAACTTTTCTGTTTTGTGATTGGTTGGTTTTCGATGGGGGTGAGACTCCGTCATCAGCCGGGACGCCGGTGCCATAGAGCACCTCCTGCGTCGCCTGGCACCCAGCGCGGCACAGCTTTCCGTCAGAAACCGGAAATCCTCTCCCCTGCCGGTAACGCCCCTCGCGACGGTGCCGGGATTGAAGAAACGCGGGGTGTGCGAATGAGGCCTTACAGTTACCAAGGGGGAAAAAGTAACTGTTACAGTTACCGCGTTCAAAAAACATGCTTTAGTGTTAGTGTTACAGTTACTGCAAAAGCAATAACGCCACTACTTTCTTGTTACAGTACAAAACTTTGACACAAGAAATCACAAACCAAAACAATATTTTATTTGTTAGACTATGGTGAGAAGA